AACTCCGCCTTTGAATGATTTTGCGGATGTCAAGTCCATTGCACCATTTATGGGTGTCCATCTGGGGATAGACGATGATGAGTTCAAGTCGCAGAACGGTCGACTCAGGTTGCTGTCCAATCAGCGATCCGATGCAGAGAGGTTCCAGTCCTACCGAACGACCCACAGCGAGGCATGGCATCGAAATCGCCACGAGATTGCACAAAGGTTTCTGAGCCGGTTCGTTCGCAGAAATGTTCCGGAGATTGGCGAGATCCCCTTCACTGAACATGTCATCTTGGTCCGCCCAACACCGGCTGAACAAGCACTCTACTCCGAGTTGTACAGGCAATTGGAAGCATGTGATGGCAAGCTTCGCCGTCAGGTCAAGTCTCGATTCGATGGCGATCAGGCTAGTCGGCTAGATGCAATCCTCAGTACTAGCACGAGCTACGAGGAAGCACTACTCAAGCGCTGTGCTTGTCTCGCTGTCGTTGGTAATTGGACTAAGACCAGGGCGCCAGAAGTCACGACCTGCGAATCTCTCATCGAGCTCAGAAAAGAGGAGATTGCTGACTTGCGAGAAGAACTCGTGAAGAACCTGAGATTAGCAGCGTGGATGTATTGCGAGTGTGATTCACAATCTGCAAGGTTTGACAAATTCGTCGACGCCGTCACCGGTCACAATTTTGGGGACAACTCGGTGACAGAAGCCGTTTGCTCTCTTTTGGACGACGCAGTCCGCTCATCGAAGCCGAACCATTGGAAAGAATTCTTCGCGCCTCCTACCAAAGTCGATCCACAGCAGTTGGCAGACGAAAAGAACAATGGCAGTCTTACCATCAGCCCCGATACTCAGAAACGTGCAACAAGAGGAAGATCATCGAAGGCCCCGCGGTCAAAGAAGTCCGCCGGCCAGGAAGAGAATGTTGACAGCGACACAGCACTCCCAGAAAGACCTGCAGGGCTGGCTGAGATTGAGCCACAGCTGCGCGAAGTTACAACTGCCATGAAAGGGATGATTGACGAATGGGTATCGCGCAAGCGTGGCGTAAGATTTCTCAAGAAGACACGGTCAATGCAGATCTGCGGGCAGATTTCCAAGTGCTCTGGTTGTAATAGCCAGCCTGAAACCCTCGACCAGTTGAGCCTATTGGGTTCTTGTGGTCATTCGCTGTGCAAAGACTGCATCTCGCAGGCTGTGCAGAAAGAGGAATGCAGTGTGGAAGGATGCCGCGGTTCCGGCAAGTTTTACAATGTCATCCCGATGTCCACGCTTGAGCGCGAGTGCGTCGACAGAGAGACCACATTTGGTGGCAGTAAACTGGACAAGTTGATTGAGATTGTCCGCGGCACTCCGCAGGGCGAGCGGATCCTCTTATTTATTCAATTCCCGGATCTGATGCAAGCCGCCGCCAAAGCATTGAATCTCGCCAAGATCAAACACACCATGATCACGGCAGTGGAAGGTAGGTCCACCGCAAAGCTCGAAAAGCTACAGGCGAGCGGATTCGGGCAGGCAAAGGTGTTGATTCTAAACCTTGGAACCGAGTTGGCTGCGGGGTTGTAAGTCAGAACAGATTCCTCTCGCAAAGGGTTCGTGGGTGTCTAACTTTCAGTTATAGGAACTTACAGCAAGCAAACCACGTTATTTTCCTGTCACCCTTGCTGACACAGACTCAATATGATTACGACTCGACTATGACCCAAGCCATCGGCCGCAGTCGACGGTTCGGTCAGAGCAAGCATGTTCACATCTACCACCTGCTGGCCAGGAAGACCATTGATGTGAACATCTTCGAGAACCGTCGCGACAAGGTCCTTATCGAGAAGAATGGGAAGCCTGTACTAGTCACGCAGAACGAAGCCGCAAATGAAAAACGAGTAGTTGTGGAGGACAGCCACTGACTGAAGACGAAGCAACTTAGGTTGTGTTGAAGATATGTTGGTTGTTCGGCGATCAGCATTTGGTGTTGATCCTGGATCTGTCTTGTCATCTTGAATGCCATGTATGTACGAGTTAATGACAGCCAAGTTGCAGCGATAGCATTCAAAGCAGACTCATGAATGTTCTTACCAGTACTTTCTCGGTAGACTTTTCAAAGCCATGTGGAAAGCCTCGTACTAGGATTCCACGGGCACCTTCCTCAGATGCCTATAGGGCGCTTGAGATCATGCTGGGGAAGGCGCAACCGACCCCTACACCCGACATTCCGGTGTAGGGGTCGGTTGGGGAAGGGATCGAGATGGTACGGAGCTCGAGCACAAAGTCCAGAAGTATTGGAGGCGTGTTGTCTTTGTCGGTCACATGATACGTATCTTTGATGACATCTGACGACTAAGCATGTTGTGATAAGGTGTTTCGATTAGTCGTATAATCTGGATTAGGAATATTTTGCAGGAATTCGGTAACATAGAGGCAACGCGATTCCGGTGAATGAACAACTAAAAGACTCCATTGGGTACTGCTAACAAAACCTTCTATGGCAGATCAAACGACTCCCACCATGACCCGGTCTCCCACCTTACGCAACAGGAAGCAAGCGAATATGAAGCACGACGTACTGTACATGAGCATCATCCGAGTTGCTGTGTCTGAAATTTACCGGCCAGGAATGTTTTTAAAAATGAAAAGGAAATAAGATATAGAACGTTGAAAAGGGAAAACATGAGGGAAAACTATCGAACCTTCCAACGCACGGCATCGAAGAAACTGTATTCAAATTATAGGCTGACGTTCATTTATTGCGCGGGCTGATCCAGGGCTCCATCCTTTCTCATCATCGTCTCCGGGTCCCAGACGGGGTCCACTAGGTTCGTCAGGCCGGCGCTGTTCTCGCAGGTCTGTCTGCCGGTCAACGGGCCGGGGGCGGGCACCTTGACGGACTGGCCGGCCTCGGCAGCGGTTGCCGACTCCTTGAGCGCGGTGAGGAGAGTCTTGATGGATTCCGGGGTGAGATCCTCGTAGTAGTCGTCGTTGATCTGGACCATGGGGGCGTTGACACAGGCACCCAAGCACTCGACCTCGACGAAGGTGAAAAGGCCGTCTTCGGTGGTGTGTCCGGGGGTGATGCCCAGGTGTTCCGTGATAGCCTTGACGATCTTGTCGCTACCGCAACCGCCGAGCTGGCAGGGTGTCTGTAGGCGGGGTGTCAGTGACTGCGCCGGGTTTAAGCAATGGCATGGTTTCACAACGTACCGTCGTGCACAGCTGGACAAAGTACTTGCCAACAGGCTCACGGTTGTACATGGTATAGAAAGTTGCGACTTCGTAGACACGCATGGGGGGCATCTCGAGGAGGCGGGCGACCTCGTTCATGACGCTGATGCTGGTGTAGCCGTGCTGCCGCTGGCCCAGATCGAGAATGGGCATAACAGCACCCTTCTTGTACTGAGGGGGATAGCGCTTGAGGATCTCATCGATGAGCTTGAGGTTCTGGTCGTTGAACTTGAACGGGATGGACGGGTTGTTGTCGGGCTTGTTGCGGTGCTAGTGAAACCAAACCGTTAGCCTCAATTATATCAACCACAACGAAGGTCACTCTTGTTTAGCGATTGTGACCGAATACTTATCCGATACAACCGCGAAATCCGGATGGTGACCATGCTGGCGGATGCAATTGCACATACCACGGCAAGGGAGTCGCTGCAGCGTTGCGGACCAGCCGAGAAAGGTCTGAATTGAGTCTTGGGGAAGTTCTGGAAAAGCTGGCGGCCAGTCCGCGGGACGGCGGGGAAGAGTTTGGAAGCCATTGCCGGTAGCGACGGGGAGAATTGAAGGGGTATTGGGGGCGAGCAGAAGAGATTCGATCTGGTGGATTGAAGGTGAGCGCTCGACTTGGAGTCGAAGAGGCGTTTTGCGGAAGCTACAGCTGACCAATCACCGCCGACAGATTACTCCCCGCCTTGTGCCAATAAAAGAGAATAACTCAGCAGCATCATGGCGATTAGACAACCTTGAAGCATCATGCATTCAACTTCACCATCTCCCTTCGACAAGCTTTGCAACTTTATAGCGAGGCTTAATTATTTTTCTCATATTTGCGATGTTTTATCCTAGAACTAATGACAGCCACTACCTCGCAATTTCCGAAAACACGAACCTCCCGAAACATCCTCCCAACGCCGCACGTCCATTCTTCGATACCAGATCAAATTACACATTCTCCATCTTGTAAACCTCATACGCAACCTCCTCATACGGATGGGCCTTCACCAAAGCCTCCACAGCCTGCAGCATGATCGACCGTCCCAAGCACATAACCTCCACCTTCATCTCCTCGACATACTCCACGTCGCCGACCGAACCAATTGCGGGATTGGCACCCTCTCCTGGCAAGAACTGTCCGGTGCCCGGTGTCTGGAAGCAGCATTTGGAATACTTGCCGCCAGGAAATTTTCCGGCCCCGGTAGCGAATACCGCATCCTTGCAAACGTCAAGGTGGGAGTGCGGCACGAAGAAAACGAGTTTGTAGCGGTCGGGAATATGCTGGGTGGCCATATTTCGGACACGGTGGGATTGAAATGTTGGGGTTTTTCGTAGGAGCTGGGAGGTTTCGATGAAAGTGGGGTACCGGTAGGTGGTAGCAGCAGCTTTAGATGCGGTAGAAGAAAAGGTTGATCTCGAGAGGAGAAAGCTCGAGGATGAGCAAGTCCGGATGAAGTGGCGTAGAAGAGGCTGCGATACAATCGCGCGGGAAGCCGGACGGCCCAACATTGGCACGAGGGGTTGTTCTAGCTTCACCAGGGGTCTGCTACAGTACACGGTTGACTTCATCTGCCCGATGCGCAGCTGATACAGTGACGTCCTCACGGTCCTAAAATCTTGGCAATCCCTGCAGTGTTCGTTACTAATCTCGTCCTGACTGATAGACCAGACAATAGAAATCGAACTCACGTCGCAAAACTTACAGAGGATAATATAGTCATCAAGTCATCAATTTCACATATATCTGCATTTTCTCTCCCGTCTACCGGAGGGAATTAAGTTTCAAGCATTACGAGACTGCAATAATTCATGCGCATCATCATCTCATTACATGTACCGAATCTATCTAAATTCTAGTCTACAGACATTTATACTCTAAGCCAGAGTAGCGAACTTCTCGACGTGGGCATCGATCCGCTGCAGCAGTTCCTGCTTGCGGTCCTCACCAATCCAGCTCTCGGTGACACTGTTGACAGCAATCGTCTTCCACTCATTCACAGTCAGGTTGAACGCCTCGTGGACCGCGCAGTAGTTGTCCAGGATGTAACCACCGAAGTAAGCCGGGTCATCGCTGTTGAGAGAGAACTTGACGCCGGCATCCAGGAACTTGCGGATGGGCACCTCCGCCACCGTCTTCACGCACTTGAGCTGAACGTTCGACAGAGGGCAGACGGTCAAGAGGATGTTCTCGCGAGCCACACGCTCCAAGAGGGCCGGGTCCTCGACAAGCCGGATACCATGGTCGATGCGCGTCGCGCCCATCTCGAGGGCAGCGGTGATATAGGTAGGATCACCCTCCTCACCGGCGTGGGCGGTGAGACGAACGCCCTTGGCCGATGCGGACAGGTAGATCTCACGGAACATGTCCTTGGGAGGGCCGACCTCGGAGGAAGAGTAGCCGAGGCCGTGGATCACCTCCGTCTCAAAGTGGTTGTTGTCGAGGATGTTCTGGTAGGTCTTCTTCGCAGACTCAACGGGGAGGTGACGAACGAAGCACAGGATGAGGCGGGTAGAAAGACCGAGTTCCTGCTCGGCGCGCTTGCAGCCGGCGACGAAGCCAGCCACGATGGTCTCGTAGGGAATGCCACGGTCCTGGTGAACCTGAGGGTCGAAGAAGACCTCGGCATGGTGCACGCCGTCCGCGTGAGCCTTCTTGAAGTAGGCCCAGGCCAGGTCGGCGAAATCGGATTCCTGGATGAGCACGGACATGCCGATGAAGTAGAAGTGGAGGAAATCGTCCAGGGAGCTGAAGTGGCCATATCTGCTAGTCAAAGTCTCGATAGACTCGTAGGCGGGTTCAGACTTGGGATCAGGCAGCTGGACTTGGTTCTTCTCAGCCAGTTGGAAGATCAGCTCGGGGGTGAGGCAGCCTTCCAAGTGCACGTGGTGCTCGCACTTGGGAAGGCCAAGGAGGAAATCATGCCAGGAAGATTGACACATGTTGGATTGTTTTATGATTAAGGAAAATAAAAGGGTATCTTAGAGGAAAGAAGCAATGCTTGATTTGGAAAAAAAGTACCTAGCAAGAAAACAGCAAAGGAAATCACGAAAGAAAGGAAAAGACTCTGCGGGAGAATCAGAATATAAGGTCTGCACCAGGCTCCATTTTTGCGGAAATCCAAAGGAGATGGTCTCCCAAGATGGCTGCTCGTCCGACTCGGGTGGATTCAATTGGGTCACAGTCGGAATAAAGTCAACGGTGTGGATTGCAGTTGGCCGGCAGCGATCCACCAGGGCGGAATTCTGCAGCCCTTCTGGAAGCACGATCCATGATAAGCTTGTTTGGTGCGGGTGAGAATTTCAGGCACGCCCGCACGTCGGTCAGATACCGAGTCGGAATCGGCCGATGGCCCGGAGGACGGAGAATGTCTTGTTGGGCAGCATGGCATCACCCTTGGTCACTATAACACAGGCCCGACTCTTTGACCAGAACTTGATGGACAACGATTAGCGTTAAGCATGAAACTACCGTTTCGAAGAAAATCTGTTTTTATTGACTGCAAAATTAGGTCGGTAGGTTTGAAGTAACGAACGTGTTGAAGTCGCCCTTTCAGAGGTCTGTAGTGGGGGCGGAGGGGTTATGATTAGAGGCTGTAGATGCGTTAGATGATACCGTAACCATGAATTGTACTCCTCAGCCACTACTGGGAAGAACTTTAAAAAGAATGTCAGGGACGAAAGGGCATTTATACTTGAAAATCGAAAGGAAGCGGGGGTAGGGGCCGGATTTCGTCGGTATTGGGGAAATGCCTGGAAATGTGCAGGATCTAGAATCACCGTAGTGCATTCGCGCCTGCTCTCATCTGCAATGCATGAATGGACTTTCGTTGGCTGTTTTGATCATATCATTGTCAAAAAGATGGGATCAGAGATCAGATATATACATTGACTGCAAAATATTATGAACCAAGTAGTGGCATGAGAAGATGTTCACAATGGAACAAGGTCATCTTCAACCACTGACCTTCTTTTTTGCACTCCGGTGGCAGTGACGAAAGGTAAGTATAAGACAATATTCAACCCATCAAGACATAAATCCAAATGAGAGCGAATCCTGTCTTCAAAATGAAAAACTTGGAAGTTTCGACCTCAAAGTGACCTTCAAGCATGAGCCATCAACTTCTGTAAGGAGAAGCATCCCGCTCATGCAACGGTAACATATCCTCTCGAAAGGCATCGTCATTCTCCGGTATCTTCCGCATACCGTGCTTATTCTTTGGCTTCCTGCAGCAAGCACAACAGCAGATCTTGCGCAGCGGGCTCGGAGGCATCTTCGCGTTGGGTCCCTTGATGATCGCCCCGGGATGGACGATGTTCCATACGACGATGGCAAACCACATGGGCACGGCGTCAAACACGTACATGTACCACTCATGGCGCGGGATGGGGTTGGAGGCGTCGTCGCCCGACGAGAATTCCACCAGCCGGTAGATGATGCGCACGGTGATGAACAGCAGACTCGTGTACAGGGCATACAGCAAGCCGCGCCATTGGGCCTTGGGGCCGACCAGTCGACCCTGGCATGTAAGGTGGAGCATCTGGCGGTGGAACTGGACGGCGATGAAGAGGAAAAGAACAATGAAGAACTGCTGGATTCCGATTCCGCCCATGTAGATATGGATCCCCTTCATCATCGCTGCATTGTCCGCTCCGGGCCCCGCCATGCTACCGCCGATCACTTGGATGACGAAGGAGCCTAGGTCCAGAAGGACGAAGATCATAGCTAACAAGGAGGGTTTGAAGATGCCGATTCGGCGGTCCGGCACGAAGAAGTAGATCATTCGAGCTAGAACCATGTAATCGAATGCATTAACCCCTAAGAAGATGATTAGTACGCTTATCTGGGTGTGAGGAAGAGAGATTTTGAGTGTTTGTGCGTACATAACGGAGATAAAAGAATGAACAACTGGGTGATGGTGGCAAGAGTCGTGTCCTGCTGACTGCGCGTACTCAGCGTGCGGGTGACGAACCCTACACACTCCCAGATCGCGCTCATCAAGATAACCCAAACAAACCCTGCCTTGTGAATAGTGGCTTGAATGAAGTGGGTAATCATCAAGACGCCGAAGAGAACGGAGAAGGCAAGTGCAGCGCCAAAGGACGGGTAGTACTGGTACAGGGCATTGCACTGGTCAGGAGGAACATAGCCGTTGGCATCGGGAGAAACAGTCGGGGTGCAGGTGTTGGAAGGCAGATCCAGCGACAGACTGAGGCTAAAGGGCTTGATGGAGATGGTGGGAACGTCAATTGTGATATGGGGGTCGTAATCATCGGTGGCAGTGGCTCTTCGCTGAAGACCAACATTGGTTGTTGTAGAAGGAGGGAGAGTAGGAGCTGGAGTCGGCGCAGGAGTCGGTGCAACCACAGCAACCACTCGACTTGCCGAAAGGAGCGATAGAAGAAGTAATGAGAGCTGCAGATGCATATTTGTTTGAGGTGGTTTATAGCAACCCGGAGAAAGAAATCACAATGAACACAATGAACGTGGAAGGTGACATGGGGTTGAAAAGGCATTGAAAGAAGGTAGCAAGAGATCAATGCTTACTGATATAGGTTGAAGCTTTCAAGGTTCGTCTCATTCTACCACTGGATTAGGTGACTCAATAATCCATTGTTGATGTTATTCCTGCTGCGGTGATACACGAGGAATCCGCTCTGATTCTATTTCTAGCGTCCACTACTGCAGAGATATAGAGTTGCCTACAATTTGAGCTCCTGCTGGCAGAGTAGACCAGTCGCAACGAAGGACGACAATGGAGCCTTGAGATAGAATCTATGCCCTGGCTCCATCGGCTCCATCCAGAGATCAAGCGTCAAACAACATTCCCCATTTCCCCCTCCACGAATCTTAATTGAGATCCTCCTAGGCTGCCAGATAAGGTCATACCCTCAAGCTGACTGATAATTGGTTGAAAATCAGGTCAAGCAAAGACCCTCAACTCAAGCTGTTGTGCTTGTAGCCTAGCTTTGTTTCAGCTTATACACTGTGGGCAGCCATCAGTTACAAATGAGCTTAGACCCTGTGTCTCAGGCACTGCACACATCTACTCGGCTATGAACAAGGTATCGGACCATTACTGTATCAGTGCGACAGACCTTACCTCGTAGGGACCGCATCGCTCAGCAGGTGGAGAAGAAGTAAGCACTAACCCTTGAAGAGCTACCTCCATCCCATTAATAGCATCACTTCATGTCAATCACCAGTACCCCACATCAGACCAGACCATGTCCATGAAAGCCAGTGTTGAAAGGATTCGCTAGCTTAACCCTTTAATTGAATCCTGCTGTGGCTGTGCAAGTGGATAGTGCTACTGAGGCTCGTCTGCACCGGCACAGTATAGCATCGGCAGCAGCCGACGAAAACACACAAAGGCAAACAGACTAGACTTTGTAGCTGCACGATAATATGGTATCTCTGCCTACAGCAGTCAATTCCAAGATTGTCTAGGTTAGTAGGCTTGACGAAGCGTTGGGTATATGTTCTATTGATTACGGGAACATCTTTGGTCCAACCGTGGCCTCGGATCGTCGCCATGAATACGACTTCGTGCTTGAAATCTGAGCAGGACAATTGACTTCGTTCTTCATCATTCTTGTTAAAAGGACTGTGCCTCCTGACGGCTCCATCCCGTGCTAATGCGCGGATTCAAGAAAGGTTTTGAGGTTGAGAAACCGGCTGCCATTGATGAATAAGTAAATAATGAGACAGACGCAGATCTCTCTCTTAGGGAATGAAAGTCTATATTGACGAGATATGCTATTCTGATTGTTTTCCGTCCCAGATCTGAGCGATTATCACCGCCAGTTGTGCCTCGGCTTGCGTTCACAGACGTCCAACTGCACCTGTTGACTCGAAATCATCAGCAACATCACGGAGTCTGATGGGGGCCAATGAAATAAGAATAACAGTCAACTAAGACTCTCAGGTGGATGTCTATTGTCACGAATGGTTTAAGACATCAACTCCGTGGGTGGACAGTACGCGTATGTTTCCCCGGACTTCATACTCGTGTGCTGATCTGCATTTTTAAAGTTATCAGATCAGATCTCCATTCAATGCTTACAAAACTTTACGTTTACCCATAGCAAGCAGCTTGACTGAAAGCTGATTTCGCAACCATATACTCAATTACCTTACAATTCCACATGCACCTCGATTTTAATTCAGTGTTGAAACCCCGAAATTGTTCATAACGAATCGTATCTAGAATTTATGCTCGTCTAAACGAACTTCAAAGATGACCGCCCAAAGATAGATGCCAAAATTAAAAAAAAAAGCTAAATGTATGAAAACAAAGAAAAATAACTCCAATCGTCATAACTCAGACCCGAAGCTCGGCTCCTGCGGCTTTCCGCAGCCGATTCATCACCGCCGCGGCCAGGTCACCTTGCTGATCAGGCACCCCCTCGACATAAATGACATCCACCTCTACTTCATCCATCGCCCGCAACGCCGAAAACAATCCCTGGGCGATCGACTTGATGTCCGGGCCGAGATGGCAGTCGAAGGTCTGTTTTGTCACCACACACCCCTTGATCTTATCCTCAACGGGGACAGGGAACGAGACCAGATTTTCCATTAAGCTCTCGACAGACTTCACGCCGTTCTGAATCTCCTCCTCTGAGACCAGTCCCATGCCTTGCTTCCAGTTGCGCGTACGCACCACCCCGATGCTATGCGCGCCAACCGCTGAGTCCTCCAGGTCCTTGCGGATGTGGTTTCGGATGCCCTCGTCGGCGGATTCGGGCTCGAAAAGGACCACCCGAGCCTTGGGGGAGTAGTGTCGGTACTTCATGCCCGGCGCACGGGGCACCTCCTTCACATCGAGCGTGCCATCGTGGTATCCGACCTGCACATTCTCCCACCCTGGACATTGTCGCAACTCCTCGATGCCGATACCACCAGGACGAAGGATCGCCGGGGGATCAGAGAGCCCGTCGATGACTGTGCTTTCCACTCCAACTCCACAGGGGCCCCCGTCGAGGATGAGCTCGATGCGGCCTTGCAAATCATGGTGTACGTGCTCTGCGGCTGTCGGGGAAGGTTTCGTGGAGGCGTTGGCCGAAGGAGCCGCGAGTGGTCGGTCTGTGACATGAATCAACAAACGTGCCAGCGGCGACGATGGCATCCGCACGCCGAAGGTAGTGAGGTTCGAGGTGACTTCGTTCGCAAGGGGGGATCCGGAAGGGTTCGGAACGAGGATTGTGAGAGGACCGGGCCAGAAGCGGGAGATGACCGAGTCGTAGATGGCGGGGAGCTTGTTCTGAGCGGTGCTCGTGACCCGCGTGGGACTGTGATGGACGGGATTGAGGATGCGCTCCAGCATTCCAAGGGAATCCACGTGGATAATTAACGGGTTGTCGGATGGCCTCTGCTTGGCCTTGTAGATCCCCTGCACGGCGTCACTGCGAGTAGCATCGGCGCCTAATCCATACACTGTCTCCGTGGGAAATGCGACCGGGATGTCGCTCGTCTGCAGGAGCTGTGCGGCTTCTTCGATCGCAGCCGCTTCAGGGGTGTTGTTGTTGCATTCATCGGCCCACCATTGCGCGAGTGATCGCTCACCAGGACCTTCCTTGTTGAGTCGGCGAACCGACACGATCCGCGTGTCTAGCTTGGGTGGCATAGTGGCTGTAAGGGAAGAAGAAGAAGACGACGACGAAGCGAACCGGACAAAGCTGCGCGGGAATCCGCCAGCAAGAAGACGAGAGAGGAACAACACCACTTTGAATCGACAAGGGGGATATCAATTGATATCCGAGACCATAAGGGAGAAAGAACAGGCTAGTCGCGGGGTTGGGTCAATATGGTCGACAAAAATTCTCCAAGTGGGGGGAAAGAGTCACAAGCGTGCGAAATTATTCGTTCACTCTTTCACATATGTCAGATTGGATCCAATTTCTCCTGGCTCTTTTCCCCACTGGACTGATTCGGCCCGAGGGACTGTTTGGCTGGTAAGGGAACAGCGCAGTCAAATGTCATTTCTCGAGTCATCGAGAGAGACTTTCGCGCCAAAAAAACTCGCGATGACGTCGGCTGCCTGGTGACTAAGCGCAGGCATCCAGGCCTGGTCCGGTTTCTCCCTATTCTAATCAGCCAACATGCAGTCAGTCTAGTCTGATATTCGATTATTCTGATATCATCTTGCTCTAGTCCAGCCTTATAATATTGTCTTTTAATTTGCCACAAAGTGGGACTTGAGTCCGGCAATGCTTGTTTCTCTGTATGGGCACGTCATTGGTGTTACAACAAGATGAGCCAAGGACTAGGCGGCACATCGATATCAGCTGCAATATAAACGAATCATCTATGCAACATAAGGAACGGATATCACGGAACTCGATAGATAATGGCATTGAGTGACAGGAAAGCGCTTTTTGAGCATGTCAAAAGAATAGAGAAAGTCGCAGTAATAAGAAAATGTCCAGGGATTGATCTATAACAGAGTTTGGGCTTAGTCACTATGGAGTGCACGGTTCTAGTTTCGTATCTGTGCGCATGGAGACCATGTCATCAGAGTACTTCATCGTCCCTGAGGGGAATTGAATGGTCGGGAATTAATCGATCAAAACCTATTTCTTCTTTCCTCCTTTACCTCCTTTGTTCCCGCCGCCGCCGCCACCACCACCTTTCCCTTTGCCCTTATCACCTCCGCTGGCTCCTGCACCAGTCATGATGCGTACCTTACCCACAGGGACTGAGTTAATGATCTCAGTATCCTTCCACCCCTTGATCAACTCGCCTTCACGCTCGCGGAGCTTCTCGGCTGCTGCCCGGTTAATGCCAGCGTCCTCGGCATGCTCCTTCTTGACCTTGCCAGTCGTCGTTTCGGCGACCCATCGTCCAATGATCTCCTTGACAGCCTTCCCCTTCTTCACAGTACCGGGCTGCAATTTGATCTTGTACTTGTACCGGCCCAGGGCAGCCCAGGGAGCGCACACCGGGATGGCCGCGAGGATGTCATCGTCAGGATGAGGCGTTCCGATCATGGCAGGAATCCACTCGAGATCCGCAGCTTCCGCGGCGGCCGTCTCCTCGTCGTAGTCATCAGCACCCCCTTCGAAGAGAGCCTGTCGTTTGCGCTCGGCCTCCGCTGCGCGCTCATGCTGGGCTCTGCGACGCTTCTTCTGGGCCTCAGCTTCCTGCTCACGCTTGGCTTTGGCTTCCGCCTCTGCAGCGGACTTGGCGGCTTTCTCGCTGTTCACGCCCAGCAAGCGGAGTGCCAGCTCCCGCTCGTCTTCGTCCTGATCTGCATACTTGGCCGCGGCCTTCTTTGCCTTGCCCTTCTTGCCCCGAGCGGAGCCCGCCTGCTTGGTGTTCGTAATTTTGGCCGGTGCGCCGTTCGACCCCGGTTTCTTTGAGCTCTCTTCGGCTTCCTTGGGTGTACTATCCTGGGAGTCGAGTGGCTGTCCTTTCCTGAGAAGACGACGCTCTCGAGCGGAGAGTTGTCGCTTGCCCTGATCTTGAGTGGAGGTTAAGCTTTCTTCCGGCAGAGTCTCATCCGCAGCTGTCTTCTCCGTCTGAGGAGACTGCTCCTCCTGCTCCCCCTCTTCCTCGGCATTTTCGTCATCCGACGGGCTGTCGTTAGCATCATTAGAGTTGCCGGCTTCCGCGTGAGCTGGCTCAGACAGTCCCCGTTGTAGCGGGTTTCTCTCCGTAATAGCCTTATCTTCCTCAGCTTCTTCATCCGACTCCGAGACCTGCTCCTGCTCCTGCTCCTCTGGTTCATCAGGGCTGCCAGGTTTATCAGCTTCCACCGTCTCGGATTTCTTCTCAAAAGGCTCTTTGCTTTCCGCTACTACTACAGGAGCACCGCCCTCCTCGGCGATCGGCTCCGCAGCCGTAGGTTCGTCGAACTGGCGTAGCTTGTGGTTCCGTAGACTTTCTTTGCTAACCTGGAACATGACTGCAAATCCCAGGACAAGCTGGGATGGGGCCAGGAAATTCTTCTCGCCCTTGATGACAAACTCGCCAGTAGGGACAAGACCACCCACCTCAGCGGTCTTGGAGACTTGGCTGGCATTGACCCAGTAAGCGGACATGATTGCCTTGGAATCCCAAGCACTCGATGTAGCAACACATAGGTTGCCAGCTTGAGAGAGTGTGCTGGGAGGAATAGGCGCGTTAGGCGTGCCCGCTCTGTTCTTGACGATCATCGGCGTAGCACCTTGAAGGTCCGCATGCACGAAGACATCGCCTTTCTTGAGGTACCGCCGGTATAGCATCTCGCTCTGCATAGCATCACGGCCACTAGTCCTAGTCAGAATAGATAGTTCAAGATATCTGGTTCTGAAACACTTACCCGAGAACCAGGTATCCCTCAGAAGAGACGAAGAAGAGGAATTTCTCGAACCAGAAAAGCTTTCTAGCCGGGCGGAGAACCTGCTTCTCTTGCTTCAGGTTCCTTTTGAGGTCCTGCGTGACTTTCTTCTCGTGGCTCTTGAGCGCCTTGGCAGAGGACTGCGTCGTCCGCTGTTCTTTCACAGCGGCCTGTTTCTTCTGCTCGTAGTACTGGGTCGCATTCGCCCATGGGGAGAGCCCAAGATCGATGTCAACCACCAATACATCGGCCCTCTTTTCAAAATTCTCATCGTCCTCCCTCTCATCCTCCGACTCGGACTCGTCTTCGTCATCCGAAAAAAGCTCCTCGCCTTCACCTTGCTCCTCATCTCCAGCCTCTCCCAGCACCAACGTAATCGTGTTCTCGTGAAGCTTGAGAGGCAACTTGATAATCCTCGCAACGGGGTTACCTCGGCTCTGTTCCATTTCAATCAGACGCGCGATTTCGACCCAGTCCATTCCTTGCGCAATCAGACCATTGACAGCATCCATGGCCTCCTGCACCCGGTAGACATTATCTTCGATAGCGGCCGCCTTCCGGATATGCAACCCCTGGACCTCCTGCAGGGCACCAATCCGCTTCGCATGCTCCTGCCGGACCGCATCCAGCTTTCTCTTCGCGGCCTCCTCGCGCTCCGTGAGCCGCGACTCCAGCTTCTGCGACTCGATGGAAGAGAAATACTCATCGACGGTCTTGTTGAAGTTCTCAAACTCCAAGATCGTGACGCCGGGCTTGCCCTCGAACTGGCGCGGCTTAAACGGGTGAAAGTCCTCATACAGGAGCGCCGGTGGCTTCTTGCCGGATGCCTCCTCGTTGTCCTCCTTCTCCTCCGCAGCCCCCTTAGCCTTCGGCCTCGTATCCTCCTTCGCAACAATATACCCAGGATGCCCCTGCCCGACCGACAAGTTGTCCGTCTCCGCCTTAGCCACCTCCAACACCTCCACCACCCTCGTCAACAAGTCTCCATCATCGCTCAGAACCTCCTCCAACGGCGTCGCCGGATCCAACCCCTTCACCGCAAACGCATGATCCAGCAACAGCGGCGGGTACTCGGGGAAACCCTGCGACAGCGCCTTCCGCAGCACATCCGTGTTCTTCTTCTTAGATTTCTTCGGCGCAGCATTACTGCCCCCTTCGGCCGCAAACAAATCCCTAGCCTTCTGGACTGTCTCCCGCACCCGCTGCGGCGTGATGTCCGGTACCCCGTGGTAATTCTGCTTATTGTCAACCGTGTACTTCAAGCCGACGCGCGTCTCCTCCTCCTGCCCGTCGCCGGCCGCGACCTGCCGGAACAGCGCGAGGATGGTGTGCTCCCGGTCGGTGAGGATGATGTTGCCGCCCGCAAAGAACTCGAGGAACATGTGGTACTGGCCGTCGCTGAAGGCGAAGTCGATGACGCGGTCCGTGCCGAGCTGCTGGACCGAGGTGACGCGCCGCGACTTTAGGAACTTGCGCATGCGCGTGACGAAGGGCGACGGCGCTGAGGCCGTCGCGCGCGAGTACTGCGTCACATGGCAGCGGAAGCCGGAGTCGACGACGAGCTGTTTGCGGTGGTCGGGTTTGGCGAGTTTGAAGAGAAAGATTCTCTGTGGGACAAAAGGGTAAGATTGGGACTGAAGCTGGGATCCTAGGACTGAGTCAAGAGGGAATCTTACCGAGGAGAGGTCGTAGATGTTCGACACTCGGAGGTTGACGAGTTCCGAGGCAAGTTCCTGGGTGATGACCTGTACAGGTACAGTACATCGGTCAGATACGTGGGAGCTGATCGGGGGAAAGAGAGGATGCACAATCAACAAAACAGACAGACCTTGACATCCAACGAAGAGAATCTCTGCTTCATCTTGGGGTATAGGTGTATTGATTGGTTCCCCCAAAATTTGTTTGATTAGTGTTGCGCTGAGGGAGGGGGGAAAGAAAGCGATTCGACAAAGTCCAAAGAGTGCTGCTGAAAATTGTCCCTCTTGGACGGCGGAGAAGCGGGCGTGACGTATGCGGGGCTGGTTCTCGCCTATGGTTTGTATCGCTTTTCCATAGTCTTCGAACGCTATCTTCTCGATGAACTCCGCACGTGCGCATACTAATCAAGGTCTTAACACTATATCTTAAATAGGACAACTATACCATATGCAAATGAAGCATTTTATTCTATTTTGATGAATTTGGCCAGTAATTTGTCTGCACTCAGCTCCCATTGCCGCGACCGAGCGCTCAATTCTCACTCACGTGAAAAGAACACTTATCTATAATAAGTCAAATCCCCCCAGAACAGAGGTTTCCATCAAAAACGAAGATATCTCTTTTGAAAAGAAAGGTTGTAAGAAAAAAAGTATCATGCGGATCAATACAACGCCAGGACCAGCCAGAGAACATAAACAAGACACATTAGAAAAACGAAGACGACAGAATCCCACGTCCTCATGCATGAGAATCAAAACACCGGTATAATCTCTTGTCTCCCCCAGTTTTACATCTGCCGCAGACCCTCCGCCAGACGCCGCTTGCCCAGCTCCCACGCATTGAGCAGACCTTGTTCCGACAAATCGATGCTCTTCAGGTTAGGCGCATCGGGGGCGGGAGCGCGGCTCACGCGCGAGGCAATCAGAACGGGATCCGTTTCGAGGATGATGCCGTCGTCGATGATCTCGTCGATGGCCAGGGCGACCAGGTCGTAGTTCTCGACGATTGTGCGCTTGTCGGTTGCACCCCTGCACATAGGGAAAAGTATCGGGTTAGTCACCGCATTGGCCCGCGGGAATAATGCCTGAAGAGAAAAACGTACTTGAATAAGATTCCAAGAGCATCCCGCAGAGACAGAACAACGTTGTAGAGCAAGACTTCGTTCTCGTCGGCGCTGCCAACCACGTAGAGCATCACGTCGCTCTCCATCTTGAAAACCACGATCCGGTTGTCGTAGAGGATCACATCGCTGGTCTGCTTGTTCGTCTTCTCGAGGAGACCCTGCTCGAATGCCTTCTGCTCCTTCACGGTGGGATAGGGGTTCGCTCCGGGGTAATCGGTCGAGTTGGGGGCAGCGCCGGCCGGGGGGTGAGGAGGGGAGTAGTACTTGGCGAAGATGCGGGACCCGTCGTCGGCCGACATGAGAAGGACGGCATTGACAGAGAAAAGAGACAGAGAGCCAGGCATGGTGGGCGAATGGACCAGAGAACGACTGAATTAGAGGATGGGGTGAGTGGTGACTGCTCCGATAGGACTTACACCTCCGTACTATTTACAAGCTGGCCGCAATCCGGCCGCCGCGTCAATGTTTCTCCGGACTACACTATACAATGAAGCGAGGAATGTAGTGATTCAAGGCCAAGATATAAGAATTATGCCAACGGTCACTTCGGCTCAAGAACAGTTTCAGCTCCATTTTCCATTTTCCTGTTACATACAAAATGTTCTCCGAGACCCTCCTTACAGATTTCAGGACTTGACTATGTTGATGAAATCTGGTTAGAATGCTAAGGCACCTCTAATGATCCGCAATTTGCACTTTGTAACCTCACTTGTCCTTCGACGTCCTGCCGAAAAGCCATCAATTGTAAAGCTGAAGAGGATTCCCGGATAGCCAGCGAATGTATGCTTCGCACCACCCAGAAGGAGGGCCAGGTATGGAAGCCCATTTGAGGCCACTTGGCAAACGAAAGATAAGGCTACCTCCGGAAGCTCAGTAGAACTTCACTGTCTTGAATCGGATGCTTGTCTGGCCGATCGTCCGGCCCTGGCTAGTGCTTTCGAACTTTAGTACGCCTTCTTCTGCACCGAAAATCACTTTGGTCTCGTAATCGAGCCTGTACTTGAGCTTTCCGTCAATGACTTTCGTCTCGAAACGGGATAGATCCGTATTGGTAAAATCTGTTATGATCTCGCCAACCGGGTAGATGCCTGGAGAGTGAGGATATTGTTAGTCAATGGATGACCAATTGTGAGAGGTGCACAGCCAGAATATAAGTTGCCAAGGCCTCGTCTGCAGCCACCGCGTGATAGTGCCGCTGAGATCTGAGTGTAACACAAATACAGCTTGTATACTGATCTCAACGGCCGGTGCAAATCTGAAGTCTCAAATTGTTCATGTATAAGGGTAAATACTGTGACTCAACTTACCTTCAAAGCTTCGTGTCTGAACGTTTGTTCTGTCGCATGCATACAAAGTCTGGGAGGACTGCAGACGCTGCGACGCGTCATAAATTGCACAAATTGGCACCGTATGAGTATAATTGGGCTTGTACTCTCCCCCCTGTACAACGAATGGATTAGCCTGCTTTCTCCTCTGCCGGATATCCATGGAAATCATGACCACGGCCTATGAACAACTGAAATGAACGAATAGAATGAACCTCGCTGAGGCTCGAGCCGAACTCATATGCTTCCTTGCTACGCTTCGTTCCTGTCCGGCAGATAACCTTCACTGTGGCTGCGGGCCTCACAAGCTTTGTTGGCCTGGAAATGATCATGTTGACTCACCTTCGATATCATCCATTTCATGGAACGGGCAGTGTATTTCAAGCCAGTCCATTCGTCGATGTAAGCATCGGACTCATCATCAACCCCTTTTACAAAAGGCATGCCCAGTTTGAAACCGTAATGCCTACGACACCTTCTTGTAGTAGGTTGGAGGCCTTGAAGACCCCGGAGCGCTGCACCCTGAACAATGGCCGCCTGTCTGCAAGCGTGTCAACACTGATACTATTCTGCGAGATCGGATATACTTACGCGTAATTGGGAACGGTGATCGTGATCTTTCCGTTGGATCCGAAGGCCTTCACCATTTCTTGATGAAGATACTCTGAATCGCCAAACCCACCAACCAAGATGATTCGCTAGGTTTCCGAGGTCAGAAGGAATATTAAATCGAGAGAACGAATTGATTGCCCAGGAACCTACATTTAGAACGTCTTTCCCGGCCTCTACCTTGGCATCGTCTATCTGCTGCCGTACCAGACTCAGGACCTTGTCGACAACCGGGTTGAACATGGCGTGCAAATCATTCCTAGGTTGAGTATCAGCTATTCGGCGAACTTCCCAAACAGGATGGAAGTGCATGACAGATATGTCATACTCATCAATTGTAACGAGGCGTTCCTCTTCATCGTAATGCGCCGGATCAGGCCGACAGGGCTTCATCTTGAGAGGAAGCTCAAAGCTAGTCTGAGGGGTCTGGCCAAAGCCTCGTTTCACTATTTCGAACTTGTTCATGAAGCTGCTGCCAGGCCCAGTGTATCTTGGAGACAAGTTTTCGAAAGCAGACCCGAACCTCTGGAACATAAGCCGGTAGAAACTGCGATCGATGGCGCTTGATCCGAATTTGCATCCTAATACGTTCTCAGCTTGTGTCGGAATACAGATATGTCATGACCTACCAATTCCCGCGCAAAGCTCCTCGAAAGTGAGTACAGGTGAGGTTTGAGTGACCAGGAATGTTGTAAGGTCCTGAGGGCTCAGTGAGACACGTATACTATCTAGTAACGAACTGATAGAGCTTACCACCGTGCCACCACCGCAGTCGCAGACTAGAACACCGTCTCCAGGCTAACGGGATCAAAAACGTGATTATCAGCAAATATAAAACGTGGGCCGTCAAGATGATGGGAAACCTGCCTTCACTGAGCCCCCCATGCTGCAAGTGGTGTATTTGTGTAGTGCCGTAACCGCGGCCGCTTCTGGCTCGCTGATGAGGAAGATTCTGTCTTCAGGACGAGAAGCGCTTGGTCCGAACCCTGCACGTAAAGCAGCAGTTCGTGTTGCATCCATGGCCTTGTCGGATTAGATAGCCGGCACCGTGAACCAAAACTCAATCGGTGTGATGCGAAGCGCTTGCTCTGTGATCTGCTTGGCAAGGGTCTTGAGAGTAAACTGGTAAACCTGGGTGAGGTAGTCGGCGACCACATCGATGGCAGTACGTCCAGGTGGCAACTGAAGGATGCCAGTCTGGGAAGCATATTCCAGAGTAGAATCATCGTATTGAGTCCATAGCGTATCGCTGTCTAACAGGAGCTTGGTCCACGAGTACGCGGTCATGCCGGGTTGAACTTCATAGCCCCATTTTGGAACCGCAGGTGGCAGATCTCCATCTGGGTACGCAATGCGGGAGGGAGCCTTGAAGACGATTTCGGTTTCTTTGGTTGGACCAGGCCAGTTGCAGATATGTTTGATATCTCTGAGATCCGGGCTGGTGCTACTCACATAGCTCACGCCTTGGGAAAGAGCCTGTTAGCCATGATACAAGACCACACAGTAAAGTAGAAGGAGCGGAGACTATAGCTCAAGCCTTAGACGAACCCCAGTTGTTCTATTCCACAAACTGGAGCCGGGCTGTTTCTAAATCTCTTTCTGTTTGAGCCTGAGCTGTTCGCCTTGGGACTAGATTCACCAGTGTATGTAGTGCCATAATCGACTCCCACAATGATTCTGTGGGCCCCTTTCTCCTTCTTTATCGACATGGATGAGCTGTGCTTTCTTTTTTTGCTTGGAAAGTCTTGGGAAGACTGTTGACGGGACATGTGGCCAGACTGGTCGACTAGAGATACTCAAGGGTGCTGGTAATCATGGGATGAGGAACAACTGCAAGGTTGATTTAGAGTGAGGTGGAGAAGGAAAGAGGAAGGTGGGCATGGGCGTGGGTGTGGCTGTGGCTGATTTTATATGAGATCACGCTGATCCAAGCGGAAGGAAGTGAATAGATAGTCAGCTGGCTCAAGTCGAGCAAGTGTAGTCAAGATTCACTTCTACCTCACCAAGGCGATATGAAGCTTAGCTGTTTCGGGTATCTTCTTTCTCACCCTGGATCATGAAAAAGCTTACAGAGATCCTGGAGGTGTGCCTTCTCTTCCAATTCTATTTGGAGATATTGAATGGCTGCGAGAACTCAGATCGTTTCTAGGGACGACGGGCTTTCACGACGCAGGCACGATCATACTTTGCCAGCCAGTCAGACACACCGCTAGAACCAGGTAACAAGCACATGACAAACTCGGATCTGCTCTGTGAGGAAACTGAAGGGTTGGGCGAGAAAGGCCTCCCCGAAGACGACCTTGTGCAGCTAATAGAGCTCAGGAATAACATCGCAACAATGGGAATCAGCTTCTCCCACGACACCGGAAATCTCATGAGAGAGATCTATCAGCTCGAGTCCAAACTACAGCAGTCACAAGTAGGAAGAGACCAGGCTATACATGAGCGCGATGATCAACTCCGACGAGCCCAGGAACTTGAAGCCATAAACGGAGATCTCGGGCAGGAACTGTCGAACCTGGAGTCCAAATTCCGGTGTGCACAGGAAGCCGCACTTTTATCTCTCTCTCAGAGAAGATGTGTTTCCATGGAGGACAGCACGATCCGGGCCAAATTCGAGACACTGCAGGATCAGATCCGCTCGTGGGCCAGGAAGTACAGTGCCTCCGCTCTTGCCGATCTAGATCAAATCCCACGCGAAAGCAAGACCACAATTCTGCGCCTTCTAGGACCGATGTGTGCCACTTCTGACTGGGATATACTTCTTGAAAGATTGGCGGTTTCTCAGAACAGAATTCCGGCACTCCTGATGCAAGCGCTGCTAGCGAGGCATATAATGAGCGAAATGTTCAAGAACCCTTTTTTCGCTTTCGTCGGGTCAAGCGATCCCTGGCCCAGTGCTGCGCAACTAGGTCATATGTATGCCGTTATGAAAACTGGTAGCTCGAACCTCTCTTCAACTTGATCTGTGGGCCTGCTAATAGCGTCTCAGTGGATCAGGCGGAGGCCCATATGTGGCGCTCACACACGCTACAGATGTTCACCGATAGCTCTCATCCCAGCCTTGATTTGCGTGTTCAGAAATTGAGTCACTTTAGTCGCACAATGGCTGCGCGGTTTTTGAATTGTGGAGGCAGGCACATTCTACGCTCAATTAAGGATGAAGACGAAGAGCGCAGGCGCTTCAAAGACCTCGAAACTGTGTATCGAATGGCTGGCGACCTGGCATTGTCACTGTGGACAATCCGAACAGACATGCGTTGCCTCACCCTAAAGCATCTTCCAGAATTCCAGAGTTCAAACGGCCTGATGTGCACACACCGACTACACCAATTAGATGAGTATGACCAACGGCTGGATGGCCAGAATGTCATACTATGTGTTCAACCGGCCATCGTGGCATATGGAAATGAGAATGGAGAACACTACGATCAATCCAAGGTGTGGGCTAAGTCTGTTATGTTGATGGAGGAAGGCAGAGAAGACGATGAAGAGCTGTAGCTGAAGACAGAATATTGTAGAACTGTGTTCCTATCTACTCTATGGTACAAGAATTGAAGTGCCACAAGCACATCAGAAAGGGGTAAACAAGCAGGGCCTCGTAAAGCACGTCCATTCCACTCGCGATGGGGGATGTATATAAGCGCAATGTATGTAAGTATGTTCATCAAAACAATGAGGGGCATGAATCAATAATGGTGGGGCGAATCTCGTTGGCCACCCGAGTATACAATGGTGTTGAAAAAGCGAGGGACCTAAAAACAATTTCCCAAATAGCCAGGGCATTCATCACATCATTCCGGTTCAAAAGGGTGTGTGGGTCGTCTATCACATAACCAATAGCAGAGAAAAGTAAAACAAAGCATTTTCTCCTTCACAAAGCGGGTTTGGGTAGCGAAAAGCGCCAGACTTGCCATAAACGCAGGGCAGGCTGGGCCCATTACCAGCTCGAACACCATGATGATGATCAACACCAAAAGAATTGAGGTAAGGGCGGGAGACAGTAAAATGCTGACTTTCGGAGAAGTATCCCGCAAAGGTCATGCAGATAGAAGAACTGGAGAATAAGGCAAGCAAGCAGGTCGGAACTATCAATGAAGAAGATATACTGCTGTTTCCTCGTGCAATCGAGTTTTCGACATAATGATGAGGTAGGTTGTCGGGCCTGAGATTATCAGGGCATCAGCTCAATCAGATAGGGGATTGGCTTTCGCCGCTGGTAGGCGGGCGGTTGAACCAAGGGATCCAGCTTCCGCGGTTGGCCTTCTTCCGAGCAGCCTCCTCCTCCTCGGCTAATCTGGTGGTTTCGCTGACAAGGCGCAACGGACGCAGCTTGTTCTGCGTCATTACGGCGCCCGTGTAGTTGGTCATACCGTTGCTGGAGCGCGGGGAGCTGGAGGTAGCGCCAGTGGAAGCGGTCTCAGCGGCATGGTCGCTAGTAATACTGTCTGAGCTGCTCAAGCGACTATGCTCGGGTTGGCTTGAAAGCGAAGGCGCACGGCTAGCGCTCATGCTGGACATGTAGCTTGCGTTAGAGAAAGCGCTCTGGCGTGACCCGGGACCCATCAAGGTAGGGCTGATAGGGCCACCGGAGTTCCGGCCCCGATACATCTGTCCAACGACTGCTGCAACATTGACATCAGTTTGCTCGGACCTAGTCCGGCGGTGACCCCGAATAGACTGGGCACGCAGAGGGATGCTAGGGGCCGTCTCCGGGTTTTCGTGGGCGGTGGGCACACTGGTCGGAGGTGGCATATAGCTGGTGGGGCGTGACCGGGGCTGCGTCTGAGGACGAGGAACGTTGGAGTTCGGTCCGCCCGCGACAACCGATTTGGCCCGCTGGAGGAAAGTCTGCGAGGAAGGATCCTCTTTCTCCAGAGGAGTGGGAGGCAGATCCTTGTTGTGTCCGACAGGAAGTCGCTTGGCAGGCGGATCGTTCTCGTTCTTGTCGAGAATAGTCTCGAACCCGTCATGCTGCAGGAGGCGGCTGATGATCCGCTCGATGTAAAGAGTCAAGGCCTTGTTCTGGTCCTTGAGCGCCTTGACTTCAGCCTCGAGCTTGCGCGTGTTGTCCGTTTCAGCTCTTGCATCTACAGACTCAAGCTCATCAGCCAGCGAACCCAAACCGCTGCCAGCGTCCTTGGTCTCGTCTGCAGTGTCAGGGTGGACTTCACGCATGAAATCACCCTTTGTAAAATCGCCATTCAAGGTTCGCTCACTCAGAAGCAACTGGTAACTCTCATTGTCCTCCATCAAACGAGCGTTGGCCATGCGAGCTTCCAGAAGCTCCTTCTCGAGTTCCCGCTGTCGGCCGCCGCCTTGGTTCTCCATCTCCACAAGCTTGATCTGGGACTCAGCCAATTCGAGTCTAAGGGATTCGATCAGCTTATCCTTCTGCAGCAGCAAATTCGAGTTGTTTCGCGAGGGGCTTCGCTCAATCTGAGAGGAGGGCGCAAATTGGCCGTCAAGATCGGGAGACGACCGATTACGGAAACTCGCTATGAAAAGGTCAGGAAATGTCAAATGGAGCGAGAAAAGATCGGGAATGAATGCTTACATGAGCGAGACATGTTCTTGTCTGCATCGGAGTTGATCCGCTCTTTCTGAGCCAACGACTCCTTCAGGCGCTGAATCGTCGCCTGCATCTCCTCTTCCCGGCTTGCTTGTTGCTCCTTCTCCTGCAGCATGGCATTCCGCTCTTGTTCATGAGCCTGCTCCATATCGCGAATCTGGCGCACATGGTCCCGGATCTCGCCGTTGAGCGCATCGAGCTTGCTGTCCTTCTCGTGCGCCTGGTCTTCCAATTTGCCTTGCTCGCTAATTGCCTCGTCAAGTCGCATTTGGAGGACACCTAATTGCTTCTGATATTGTTCGGAGGCCGTTTCGGCCTTCTGCAGCTGTTCCTTCAGGTCATCAATAAGTGCCGCATTCTGGGCTCGTGCCTCCTCGTCGGAGGGGCTGGGTGAGATCTTGGGAGCACTTGACGTGCTTAGGTTGGAGCGACCCGGCTTCCGAGCTGCAGCGCGCGCAGAGACGGGCGTAGACGAGCGGAGGGAAGGAGAACGAGTGACTCCATTTGATGTCGTGCTAGGAGAGCGGGAATGGGTTCTAGAAGGTGTTCCATTGACTGTCTGATTTTCAGTAGTCGAAGGTTTGGTGGCACTGGCACTGCCCGGAATACTGGGCTTGCGAGGCGTCGCGGACATGTTGACCTATTCAACCGGACAATGGCAAATTGACCGAAAGCGACGGGTTGGGAGGCCAGAAATGCGAGGCAATTCAGATAAGGGGGAAGGTTAGGAGAAAAAAGTGCCTCTGCGGATTTGGAGGGAAAAGAGTGGTGCTGTGAAACAGCCGGGAAATTAATTTAAGGAATGGAAGGCCGAGTCACAGTTGTAGTAGCGGTCAAAACAGTGGGCGCACTAGGTAACTATCTCGGTGGGGGAAAGGGTCGGGTTCGAATGGCGGGCGGGCAACGGAGAGGGGGGGAGGAACTAAGCTAAGTAAGTAAAGTAAGTAGCCACCGTCGAGGGAGAAAGAGAGACGGTGCGGTGCGTTCAAGAACAAAACCACGCAAGGATGGAGAAAGAGGAAACCGTTGCGCGGATGTAAGCCGGGTGGATATAGGGGGGAAAGAAAGTTAGGGATTAGGTGCGATCAACATGGAGAGTGTTTGAGGAAAATAATGTGGGAGGAGGGGAGAGAGAAAGTAACAACTAATAATCAATCTGAGAATTGAGAATTGCATGCAATACAATCAATCTGTCTGTCTGCGGCTGTCTGGCCGTCTTTGGCCGTCTTGGTCTGTCTGTCTGGGGGATGGGATGGGCACGATTGTTACCGTATTGTACTGTACAAGACCGCTATTTGACCATATTTGGCTGGTAACTTTGATAACTTATGGTAAATTCGGGTTACGTTGGCCTGGGGACTCTCAGGACCCCACGAGCATAATAATCCCATAATCCCATTATGAAGTCACTCTTCTTCTAGTGCTCAACCCTCCAGCCAAAGAAGTCTTCGCACGCCTGGAGAAATTCATTACATTCATTTGAATGACTTGGCTAGATTAAACTCTCATTTCTTTTTCATTTCGACCGTCTCCGCTGGGCTACAATAATGTGGAGAGAACGTCCGCTCCTGATGGAAATAGTGCCCGAATGCGGATCAACGATAGCAGCACTGGGCAACCTTAACAACACGGATTCCCCAACCAACCAGCCAACCAACCAACTTTTCACCCCTAGACGACAACAACACGAACCCAATCGACACATGGCAACGATAAAGATAGCAGCCACTCTCAAATCACCCCTCTCTCCCTTCATCCCCCCCTCGAGACTTCCTTGCTGCAGCCAGGGTCTGGCCGTCTCACGACTGCCACCCAATCATGAATACCCGCTTGTCAGGGGGCGGAGGAAATCCAAAAATGCCGACAACTGCGCCCACGTCTGTGTTACACTTCCGGCTGTGCATTACTGTAAGGCTATCCCACGATACAATAACTATATGATGCGATGTCAGCCAGCGAGGCAGCAGAAACAGGCGCTATTGCGCAGTGAAGACACGACCGGGTGCTACTGCGTAGTATATTTTGTCAATTGACTGCCTAGGCAACCCGTTGTATACTATCCGCACTCTCGCACAGTCCGAGGGTCCATCCGTGAATGAGCACTGTTAGCACCAGGGAACCTACTCTCAGCTATCTAATTTCGCGTATTCAGTCTCCCATGACCGGAATTGCTACCAAGAGCGATCAAATCAACCCCTGAGTTTTGACGCACGCCAGCCTCGGTGATGGCATGACCATCTACTTCCCGCTAAGGAGCAACGAGCGTCCTCCAATTTCTATGTACTGTACATTCCGAAAGGCTTCAACTGGGCCATGACCAGTTGCGGTTTCAAGAAAGCTTCGACCCGTATCGCAATGGCTGCTTGATTACAAAGACAGAACCGATCGTTCAATGTGTTCTTACATTTCTCCATTAACTTCTTTAGATTCAATATCGATCTGGTACCATATTTGCTTTCTGCAGGATACCGCGGTTCACAAACAGCAGCGCCAACGGCGTCAATAGTTTGGTTAATGACATCAGCCACGGTATAAATTAGCACTGCCTCCTGGGTCAAGGAGCGCTTACGAGTACGATTATGTACCCTGGCGGCTGAGTCGATGATACCACGGGAAGGCATACTCGGAGCCAGTATCTACTTTGCGGGAAGTTCTCGCAATGGAAGTCAATGCCAGTACTACGCTCGACAGGCAAACTTCAAGCTCACTTCATCTTAGCCAATCTTGTCATAAGGAATGGGACTAGTGGCATACTTTCACCTTGTCTATACTTCAACTGTCGAATATGTCGGATTGTTCTAGTTAGTCTTGTGTTGCATATATAATTCTGGACCAGTCTCAATTCCTCATAGTATATGCAGTATGGCAATAGTCCACGCGCGCGGAGTGCATATGAAAGCGGCGCAGGCCCCGCGGATACTGAACAGACACACAAGGCGAACACCCATCGACTTCAGCCATATCGGAACTACTTCGGCTACAGATCTTGGGAGAGATTTGGTACCAGGGCAAAATACATGCCTAAACGATTGCTGGAACAGGGCGCCGAAGAAGGCGCAGGAGATAATCTGGACGTTCCGTCGGGTATTCTGCGGCCAGGCCCAACTTTGGGGAACAGGATCACGTGTCGCTGGTCGGCACGATATCGACGATGCCAAAGGGTCACGTGCCTTAGTCAGTGCTGCCGGAACGGAAGAAGTGGGATCCGCGATTTGTCGAACCCACAAAAAAGAGCGGTAACAGGCTTTTTCGATTCTATCCCCATCCCAAGACAAGGCCGGAGCGCACTCTCTTTACAACAAAACCACATTCAACCTTTAGGTATGTGGTTTCTCACCAAAAGCCATGGCTGAGTGAACGATTCGCTCTTGACCATTGCCAGTTTTATCTGGCTTTCGGTCGATTGTGGGTTGTTCATTCTAGCGCTTGGCTTGAAAAAAAATCCCGAGCGAAACCTTTGCTGATTGAAATTGATCACGCAGAAGTTTAGTCTTCGACAGCGTAACGATGGCCCCCAAGAGCAAGAAGACCGGTGACACCATCAACTCGCGCCTTGCGCTTGTTATGAAGTCCGGAAAGGGTAGGTTGCAAATCTGAAGATTTCGATATCCATGACCATCGCTAACTGTTATCACCTCAAAAGTCACCCTCGGCTACAAGTCCACCATCAAGACCCTCCGCTCCGGCAAGGCCAAGCTGGTCATCATCGCTGCCAACACTCCCCCTCTCCGCAAGAGTGAGCTCGAGTACTACGCCATGCTCGCCAAGACCCCCGTTCACCACTTCTCTGGTAACAACGTAAGTAGCACCTGTCGATGCAATCGTCGTGCAGTCGTCGCAATATGATAAGACGACACTGTCACGATTTGGAGCAGGTGAACTGACTTTTCGCTATTAGATCGAGCTTGGTACTGCTTGCGGTAAGCTCTTCCGCACCAGCACCATGACCATCCTCGACGCTGGTGACTCCGACATCCTCTCCAGCCAGTAGGTGCAAGGATCAAGCCAATGACTTTCCATGTTATGTCTGAATGTGTTGAATGTCGTCCAAGATGCGACACTCGTTATGACATGCTTTAGATAATGACAAGAAAAGAAAATCCTTTACACCGAATTGATGTGCACAGGCCATAGCATGCCGCGTAGGAACAGGCCAAGAATGGGCCAGAATCTTACTTGTAAGAGCGTAGGCGTATCAAGCGGGACGGACTGCGTGCAGTCACCAACCAAATGCCAAGAATCATTCACCTCTGACTCAACAACTACAAACACCAAAAGCTCTCCTTCTGACTCAAATGACACCATCAATTTAACGCCTCCGTCATTAGAAATCCAAAGATCTTTTGATCCTGTAATCAACGAGGGCGACAACTGGTCAGAATGTCTCCGACTCTGACAAATGCGTCATGGGCCAGCGCGGGCGGTGATTGGCGGAGAGGCTAGGGTTTAGGGCTGCGCCACTCGGTAGCGGGCGGACGGATTGCTTGGAAATCAACGTCGAAAGTCTCCTGCCCGCCCGCGAGAAGACCTTTTTCCTTTTCTCCCTTTGGACCTCCCGACACCACCTTTCTCGACAACCCACCCCCCAGGAAGCCAACTTCCCAACCGTCAAAATGGCCCGCCGTCCCGCGAGATGTTACCGCTACTGCAAGAACAAGGTGCGTTGAGAGAGAGCAGCTGTGTGTGTGTTTGGAATATGGGTTTTTTGTGTGTGTGTGTGATTCGGGTCGGGAGGACCTTTTGCCTCAGTTGTGGGGTGGAGAAGGAGGATGGGACAAGACAACCGCGTCGAGGCAGAAAGAGGAGGATCGCGATGGGATTCGCATGCCAGGCACACAAGAAGGGAAAAGGCAACAACGATAACTAACATACCGACTTCACATACAGCCCTACCCTAAGTCCCGGTTCAACCGTGGTGTTCCCGACCCCAAGATCCGTATCTTCGATCTGGGACGTAAGAAGGCCAACGTCGATGACTTCCCCCTCTGCGTTCACCTCGTCTCCAACGAGTACGAGCAGCTGTCCTCCGAGGCCCTCGAAGCCGCCCGTATTTGCGCCAACAAGTATGTTGTCATCGCCAACCTGCACTCGCACGCGAAACCCAAGACCACTAACCAACAACAACAGGTACCTCGTGAAGATCGCCGGTAAGGAAGGTTTCCACCTCCGCGTCCGCGTCCACCCCTTCCACGTCATCCGTATCAACAAGATGTTGTCCTGCGCCGGAGCCGATCGTCTCCAGACCGGTATGCGTGGTGCCTTCGGTAAGCCCCAGGGTACCGTCGCCCGTGTCAACATCGGCCAGATCATCCTGTCCGTCCGCACCCGTGACTCCAACCGCGCCACCGCCATCGAGGCCCTCCGCCGCTCCATGTACAAGTTCCCCGGTCGCCAGAAGATCATCGTTTCCAAGAACTGGGGCTTCACCCCCGTCCGTCGCGAGGACTACGTCCAGCTCCGCCAGGAGGGCAAGCTCAAGCAGGACGGCGCCTACGTCCAGTTCCTCCGTGGCCACGGTCTCATCGAGGAGAACATGAAGCGTTTCCCCGAAGCCTACGAGAACCTGTCCCAGGCTTAGATTGGCCTGGTCGCGGTTTTTGACTGGTGATGCTGGGGAAAAAGAATGTTGATTAGCATTTTACATCGTGTTCTTTCTTTTTTTTTCTAATGTGATCGGAACTACCCTCTTGAGACCATTATGATTCCCCCTTCTTCTGCCACATTTAAGAGAAAGAAAGAGAGCCATTCATTTCCCCTAAGCTTAATGTCTGGATCTGTACCTCGCAGATCTGAGCTGGAACCTCGGGTTCACGATGTAGACAATATTTTCCGATCTGTAGACCACTCCAAGACCCTGCGCACAAGCACGTCATGCCGGTTCCAGCCTTGTCTTATCCTTACTACGCAGTCCGCTTTGCAGTTCAAACCGATCCACAAGCTCGACTTATAATCCAGGTAACAGACGCAAACTGCGTCATCCGCCTTTCTGTATGTACCTTATGGATCAATCAACCATGAATCCTTATCCGTGGAAATTGTTCCAGATTCCCGATCGGTCTACACAAGTCAATTTTACATATAGTATGGTCCTGACCCAACATGCACGCGACCGGGACCTTTCTTCGTTCTACCCTCGATTTATGTACCTGATCGATATCATCTTCGCATAGCCACTAGATTTGAAGTTGATGGTCTTGTCTGGTTCTTCTAGTCCATAAGTTGTAGATTCCATCCCGATTTAAAGGATTCCCGAACCTGTATATATAAAGTACGGTTCCGTGCGGGGACGATATACCATTCCGCGTTCCACCATCTACTGGATAATGCGACAATGAGCTTCGCTAGACCGCTCTGTAGACATGCACCATCAATGCATGTGAATGGTTTCTATCTCGTATGGATCCAGACACCCGCTAGATTATGCCCTTGTTGTGACCGCCGACAAACCGTATCACACGCCTAGGTAGTATGCGCCTGCCGACCTCGCCGTTAATGAGTTAATGAGTTGCCCCTATCCCTCTAGAAAACCACGCTGATGGTGATGATAATGATAACATTCGGAAAATAGATAAGATCATCCCAAAAAGGAAAACACCCAGATATGTACTCGTAACTGAGACGACAATAGCCCAGAAAGTTGTGATGATATATGAAACACCAAGAATAATAGCCAAGACTCCCGGTCTGAAACAATGCTAGTAATACGTTCGATGGCCAGCATGCATTATGTGATGTGAAACTCAAAAATTGCACACTCAGGGACACCGATCACACGTCGCCCCAAGCTCCGACCCCAGCTGCGACGGGTGCAACCGCACTTCCGCTGTCAATGCTCCCTCCAATGTCCCAGTAGTTGCGACTGGAGCCCGTCATTGTCCGACGGCTGGAGATAGCAGACATCTTCGCGCTTTGACTTGCGCAGCTGGAGCTGGGGCGACGGAATCGTTGGCGGAGAACGGGTGAAGAGACCCCCGTCGGTCCTGAATGATGGGAAGAGTATTGGGACTGACGTCGAATTTGTGCTTGGGAGCGAGCGTGTGCGCGCGCAACAAGAGGATGATGTTGACGTATAATTGCGGCGCGGCGAGAAGCATCTTGCGGAGGACGTTGCGATGTGTTATGGAACGAGTCGGTAGTAGTAGGTCTCTGGCTGAAGCGATTAAGTAGGTAGCGGAAGACCACCGATACGTCTAACTCCCGCTCCCAATATTCTCTTTCCTGTTGAATACGTGCCGATTCAGGCAATGGATCGCCTGTCGAGCCACTGCTACCACGACCCAAATCGTCGTCGTCTTCAATACCCCATAGAGCCGCGTGCTCTCGACTATCAGGAACCTGCAAAGTGGGAGTGAACTGAGGCGACAATGTCGATTCCGCGTTGTTTGTTGACTCGATCATAGCCGCAGGCTCAGCTGAAGCAGATAACCGATTGTCTTCTTCGGGGAGGCGTTCAAGGGGGATGCCTGCATATTGATTGGGAATATCATCGGATAGGTTGAGATAGGTTGTGAATGCACCGGGATGCTCGCAGAGCTGATGGACAAGTAAACCTAATTCGCGCGCAATGCGCTGAAGGAGCTTGTTCTTCCATGGCGGGCTTTGGTCCGATGTGGAATTCAGCTCCTGGTTTATCGCCTCATTGAAGTCGAAATCACTATCCGACCGCGCCGATGTGTGCATCTCGTCGTCTTCGGTACATGGCAACGACTCCCCAAAAAGGACAGAAAGCAAGGAATCATCGATCCCGATCAGATCTTGAATTACCTTGCGGGTGATGCGTTTCCATAGAGATTCATCGTTGTCAGTTTCCTGTTCTGCTGCCGAAGAAGAGGCAGGAGTCCGAGACTCCTCCAAAGTCTCTGCAGGCAGAACCACTTGTTCAGGTTGTCCGCTGAGCCGACTAGCACGGCTATCACGGCGTCTTCGGGTGGCCTTCTCGATCTCGTTCAAGAGCGCCCGACTTTGTTCCATCCGCCATTTCTCAATACGTTGCCATCGTTCCCGCTCCACATCGGCTTCTTCGTCGCGTGTGATCGAGTCCAGCTGACGTTGTACGCTTGAACGCCGCCGTGGCTGCAAATCGGGTCTTCGACGAGGATTAAATTGCTCGTGTTGCCACAGCTGATGTTGTACTGTCTCGCTGGAGGCTTGGAAGCTACCTAGTCCGTCATGAGCGGGCAGTGTGACAGGTGCTCCGGGGTCGTCTTGTACTAAAGATGGCGCCCGAAAGGCATGCAGCCCATCATCTAGACTATCCAGTTCGGTGCCGTCATCGTCCAGGGGCTCATCGAGGGCGTCTTCTTCCGCCTCGCTTTCCGGACCAACCGCCGATCGCGTTGCCGTGCCAAAAGAGCCAAAATCACTCAAACGAGCATATGTTCGTGGCGTGCGATCAGTGGACGTAGTATGGGTACGGGCGACAGTGGAGGGTTGTTGAGTTGGGGAGAAGAGCACCCATTCTGTCGATTCGTGCTCCGGTAGCTGCGAAAGAGGGGAAGGGATATCGAGCGCTGGAGACGGTAGGGAATGCGAATATGAAGGACGACGGCGGGGAACTTGGGGAGGTAAACGAAAAGCCATGAGTTGACAGTGCAGTGTAGTCGATGAGTTGAAGGGGGAGGCGGAGGCTCCGTACGTGGGGGGAAGGAGAGATAAGATGGTACTTTATCGATCGCGGCAGATCTTCCCCGCGTGACGAACGGAGGGGGCGAGAAGGGGAACTCTTAGGAAGTATGAATAAGTAAAGGAAGAGGACGCAACACAAGTGAGGTTGCCAGGTATATAAGAATAAGGAGAAATAAAAGCCGGTCGCAAAAGTGGACTCTGAAACGGGGTAGAAGGTTTCTAGACGGGGAGGGAAAAAAAGAAACAGGAGATGAGAGATGATCAGTCCGATAGCGGTGTATTGTTTGGGGCTGATGATGAATTACGGATGACGTGGGATTAGGTTAGGTTAGGTTAGGTGAGAGTGTATGAGATAAGAATGAAGATTATGGCGTGGAGTATTCCTCCGACATCCACCCGAGAAAGTTCTTTTCCTCTCTCCCGCCACGAAATTTGGTGGCATAATCCAACAATGAACAATAGATGGAAGAAAAGAAGGAAGGAAGGAAGGATGAAAGAAAGCAGGGAAGTATAACAGGAAGACGAAGCAGCAGAAGGAGGAGAGGAAGACGAAGAAGACGAAGAAGAAACGGATGATGATTGCATGTCACCAGACCAAATAGAGAAGGCACGACTTGTCTCCAGCCTGTCTGTCTGCCAAGTGGTAATCAAGCAAACAAAGAGACAATGATTAACTTCCTTATCGCATCCACACCTATGGTACGGAGTACGGAGTACATGAAAAGAGTTCCTTGATCCCAAATAGTGTTAATGCTATGGTGATCGAATGCGGCCTACGCACCTACCCTACTCTCAACTATTGGCCTCATTTTGGCTGAATCGGATGATCGACGGACGTCCGCCATCGCATCTCCAGCTCCATCTGCATCGATATCTGTCCTCAACTCATCGCCAATTTACTCCAAAATGACTCTCAGGCAATCATGTTTCTCTGTGTTCGCTTAAGAACTCGCCTGTCACCCTCCCCCTCCCTCTCAACCAAGGATCAGCCCAGCGCTGATCATCCCACACCCGCCGTCTCTGCCCTCTGATCTCAATGACATGTCATCCTTGATCTTCGCTGCATGGTTCAAGGCAAAGCTGACTGACTGACTGTCAGGGGGCAGCCAAGTCCCATCCCACTTTCTACGCGAATTCAACTTCAGTAATCGGGAAAGGTGGGTATAATAGGTCGGTCTATCGAAAGCCGCAACCATCTATCTATTTACAGGGGCTTGGGGGGGGCTGCAGACTACCAAAAAGCAAGCAGACATAGTCTACTGAGTACCAAGAAAATCCTACCCAGACAACGCTTCTCCGACCCAATCCATCTGCACGGCGCTCACCCCACGCGCGTAACTACGGTTCGTAAAAACAAACTCGTTGTACAGGATCGCCTCCACCTTTTTGCCAAACAACACGCTCGACGGATGGATCGCCACCGTCTGGTTCCCCACCACCGTACGATAGCTGCCATCCGGTACGAGGCGCGCCGTGTTCGTAGCAAATCCTCGAAGGAAACTCTTCAGAATGAACATCGGGGAGGAGGAGTTATTGGTGGTAGAAGTGCCCCGCGTATCGTTTGGGAGAAGCTTGGCTTGCCGGCACTGCGCGGTAAGTTGTTTGCGAACATCCTGTGGCAGGCGTGATGGTTAGTGGAGATTCGACACCCGGGACGCATCACTAATCACACGAGAGGGAACATACCATAACAGACTGCATGGCCCGGTGGGAGACGAGATGTCTCTCAGCCCACGCTTTCCGATCCGTATTCTCGGCAGCGTAAGCTTGCACTGTAGCCATCATAGTGAGATGATCGCCCTCTCTCCGATACAGATCCCGTCGCGCAACCTCCGCCTCTTCCTTCTTTTCTTCCGAGGTCGTATTTAGGAAGATATTCTCAACACTGAGACACGATATAATATCGATGACATCTAACAGACAATCCGTCCCAAACTCAGAAGCGGCCAGCAGCACTCGACCCAGTGTGGGCGTGAGAGGGAGCTTGGCAATGTGCTTCCCGATCGAGCTAATCTTGCCGGTCTCTTCCAAGGCATCAATGCTCAGCAGCTGCAACAACGCCTTCTCCAAAGCCTCTCGTGGCGGTCGCGTCAGGAATGGGAATCCCATGATGTCGTCGACACCGCGAGCCTTCATATTGAGCAACGCTTGACTCAAATCACAGCGGAGGATTTCCGGAGTGTTGGTTTCATCCAAGTCCAGGTAATCCTTCTCTGTATAGAGTCGGTAGCACGAGCCGGGCGCTTCACGACCGGCACGACCCTTTCGCTGAATCGCTGCCGACTTGGAAATCGGCTTCACTAACAGGGAATCCAACCCAAGACGCGAGCGGAATTGCTTGACCTTCGCCTTACCACAATCAACCACATGCCGCACACCAGACACCGTGACGGAGGTTTCGGCGATGTTTGTGGCTAGGATGATCTTGCGGGTCCGGGGCGGCGCAGGAAGGAAGACTCGTTGTTGGGCAGCTTGAGGCAGGGCAGCGAAGAGTGGCAGAACCTGGATTTTAGGCAGGGCAGGGTCCATTCCGACTGCATACTCGTTCACGAGATTCTCAAGCGCTTCCACCGTCTCCTGTCCTGTTAAGAAAACCAGGATGTCACCCGGCAGAGGCTCTTTGTAATGAATGTTGAAGATCACCTTGAGCGCTGCGTCGATAAAATCATGGACAGGCTCTGGCGAGTAGATGACCTTGACTGGAAATTGACGACCCTTGATATGGCACGCGGCGATGCCTTGCTCTTCCTTTTTGTCCTCAGACGGGCTATCTGCCGCCTTGCTCTCCTCCGTAGCCCTTCCAATAGCACGTCGGGACTGCAACCCTTCCTGGAAAAAGCCCGTGAGGGTCTCCATATCAACCGTAGCACTCATAACCACGACCTTCAAGGGCACTCCTCCTCGGCCCTCCAGCTTGCCCGATACCATGTTCCTCAAGAACCCCAGCACCTGATCCACATTGATACCGCGCTCGTGCACCTCATCCACCACAATGGCACTGTACTTGGTCAACCACGGATCATGCAGCATCTCCTGGAGCAGCATCCCCTCCGTGAGGAACTTGACCTGCGTACTCGGCGACGTCGACGTGTCAAACCGCACCGAGTACCCGACCCGACTCGCCGGGGAGGAATTGCCCAACGGCGTGCCCATCTCATCCGCGACGCGCCTCGCCAACGAGATCGCAGCCACCCTTCTCGGCTGCGTGATGGCAATGCATCCGCCCACCTGCACCTCCTTCACCTTCTCCACCGCTCCGCCCTCCGCCGTCTCCGAAACCATCGCCTTCACCGGCCGACACCACTTCTCCGTGACCAGAAACTGCGGGATCTGCGTACTCTTTCCGCTACCCGTCTCTCCGATCAGCAGCATCACGTCGTTCCGGCGCAGGTGCCCGCGAATCTCGTCCGCGTGGGGGAAAATCGGCAGGTTCTTGCGCAGCTGGTAGAGCGCCTGCGCCTTCTCGCGCAGCGGACCGTAGGTGTGGTTCTTGGTCGCTCCGTGTTTCGGTTTCGTCGTCGTCGTCGCCGTCGTGTTGTTGTTGCGGTGGTGTAGCGGTGGCTTTCTACTATCCTCGGGCTTCACTTCCTCCTCTCCTTCCTTCCGGGCAGCGTGCTTCTTTTTGGCCTTCTTCGCCCGCAGCGCTGCTTTCTCTGCATCTGCACCGGCGTCCACCACACCGCTCGTCTCCCCCTTCACCCCCGCACTCCCTCCTTCGACCTTCCGCTTCTTGTTCTTCTTGTTCTTCTGCTTCTTCACTCCATCATCCCCTGTATCGACCCCAGATCCCTTCCGTTTCGAGCGGGCAGTTGCTGAAGGTGATTGCGCTTCCTTTTCCTCGGGCTCCGTATTCGAGGGAGAGGCTTTGCTGACGGTGATGGCGTTGTCCTCGTCGTCGAAGACGGTGCGGACCCGTTCGGGCATTTTGCGTTTTTGGGCTGACGTAAGATGTCGCGACCGTAGGTATAGAGAGAGGGTCAGACACCGGGTAGAAGATTGATAGATAGCAGTTGTATTCAGATCACAAATCAATCCCCATGTCGCGTAAAACTGCGACCGGCTTGTTGTTCTGGCGGACTTCCGAGCGGAGGAGAGAAGGGTTTCCTCCCCAAAACTTTCCCCGAAATTTTTTTGGCTGGGGCCCGCGGTCGGTCCCTTATCGATAAGATCCCTTGGCGGTGAGATCCGCTGGACTTGGGCTGATAAGCACACTTACGGTGGGTTTGGTCGGGCTCGGGGGTATTTTGGTGTGTATTGAGAGAGCTGAACTCGATATGTGATGGTTATGATTGAGTTTATGCATTGATGATGCATTTGTATGCTTTTTTTTTCTCTCTTGACGCTCATTACCCTTAAGTGAAATATGTTATGCTGCTTGTAAACTCGTGACGTTGACCATGGTTTATATGCATCTAGGAAGGATCTATGTGGCCAACATATGTCTTGTCGAATGACATTGTCAATCAAAACTCGTTCAATCGTTTTTCTGTTCAGTCCAAGCCCCATCCACGAACGCGCCGGAAGACAAATGAGCGATCATTCTTGAGACCAAACTCAGCCCAGTCGTCGGTGAGTTTGTTGTAGCTCCAATATCCCTTCCAAGCCAGCTTCGTGTTCTTCGAAGGATTCGGCGGCGAGACATTGGGCTGCTTCGATTTGGCTGCCGGGGTCGACCGGAGCGATAGTTGCAAGAGATACATGTACTTCGGACCCACGCCTTCGGTTTCAATAATGAGGTCCCGAGGATCTGATGGGGATGCGACGGCCTTGTCAGGCAGTGACTCATATGCAGTGGGCAACTCATTCTGCGCGTCTTCCGACGATGAGTCAGAGTCGGCAACGGGCTTGGCCAAGCGCCACCGACCCCGGTAGGCGTGTCTTAACGCTTCCAGCGCGACATGAGGAATGGCATCTGTGGATTCGGCGCTTACAGTGGCATCCGAGGTGTGGCGGGGATGTTGTTTCTGTGTCGTCGCTCGGGCGACCTTGACGTTCTCTCTGCTGATGTGAGGGACCACCTCGCGGGGTTCCACTGTGGTAAGTAGATAGACCACGGAGCCGTCCGGATAGAAACGAAGGTATCGGTAATACGTGACAATATGGATCGGACTGTTCCAGGAGACATTCTGGTACGCAGCAGCAGCACCTGGCCGGGTGTAATTGACCGTGCTAATGTAGATACCCGTGTACCGAATCCGGGGAAACACCTGGAAGACCTCACTCCATGAAGACAGAGGTTCAGGTATCTGAACAGGCATCGACCGAGGGAAAGGCGTGTAGCGTGTTCCTAGTGTATGCTCCGGGTTTCCGTGAATGTCGCAAGCAAATGAATAGTGCATAGATTTGAAACCGAATTCCGGGCCTTGACAAATTCGCCTCCAAATATGCTGCTCATGTGCAAAGTGGTAGGCAAAGCGCTTGCAGACCAGTGCCATTCGGCAGAGAGCCGCCGGATCCATCAGTGCCACATGCCTCAGTATCTCGACTAAAACCTCTGATGGAACGTGGGAAATAGGACATGGTGGAGGGGGGGTATTCTCGATCAGCGGTTCCGCTTGAGGGATCGGGAGATGAGCGAAAGATGCGATGAGCTCGGGTGTTGGTAAGACGGGTGTCTCCTCTTGGGTCTGTTGATCGGTTGGCTTGCCAGTCGTAGCGCCCAATGTAGGAGCCTGTGTAGGTTTCTTCCACGCCGTGGCGAAATACTTGTTACGGTATGTCTTGTCGACCGCGGAGTCCAACTATGGAGGGTGCCCAAAGTCAGCAATCGGGACAGAACTTTAAGCACCTGGGTAACGCCTACTCTGTATGCTTTGCGGTAGTGTTGTACACTGTCTCCTAATTTCCCCTCTGCCTCTTTCTCAACCGCTCGCTCAAAATGCTCCAGAGCCGACTTGGGTTCATGTCGAGAGGCTGGAAGATGAAAAGCATCTTCATCTGAGGGATGCACACTCAGTTGACCCATGCCGTGAACAATTTCACTGTGGTCAATCGAGGCAGCCCCTTCGTGCACCTCCTCATGCTGTGATGCCTCATGGCGGGTAGGTGGAAATTGACTTGGCGGCGCTGTCGAAGGCTTGGACAGTCTTGGTTGTGCAGGAGTAGGCCGGGTATGTTTCGTCTTTTGTGCAACTTCCTCGCGCCACTGGCGTCGAAAAGACTCGAGTTCGGCGTTGTCCTCCATTCTCACAGTTGTGACAAGTTCGGCGAGCGGATCCCCAGACCGATAAGCGGCTGAGCGCGGGACTTGCTTAGAACGTCGTGACCGCGGAACCGGCTAGAGAAGCAATGGGCTAGAATTTAAAGGAATCGGAGACAGACAACGAGATTGATAGGTTCGCAAAGTAAGAATTTCTAGATATCCATTGTATTGATTGCAGCGATCGACTGATGATCGAATGTGAGGTCGAAAAGGTAGGTTTGGTCGACGAGGTACGGAGCAAGTGCTTATCAATATTATCTCCGGGCCTTAGCCTGTTAGTGTCTGGTCCAGCCGCCACCGCCGACCGCCGACGTCCCGAGCGTTCTTTTTCTCTGACGCATTTGTTTCTCCCCTCTTACGTCTATTGCAGATCCTCGACTGACTCGACTCATACCTACCTTGCTGCTTGCACACCCGCGCCATTTCAGAGATTTCAGTCGGCAACGTGACTTCGAAGTGCAGACGGACTGAGTCACAACCAGCCTAGACGGTCCCTCGTATTCCCCCAATCTCCATCGCGTTGATTGAATGTCCGCTATCCGAACTGAGCTTGCGCCGGGGGACCGATATCGCTCGAACGACCTGATCAACTTACAAGGGGGCTCGACAGAGTCATGGCAATCAGTTGAAACCTCAACAATGGCGACTACTTCTGGAACAGGGGCTACCCCGGCTCTGGACGCCAAACCTATTCACGATGATGTTTCAATCACTCAAAAGATGATTTCAGCCACAACCGGCAGTGTTCTCACAGCTCTGCTAGGTACGCCACCTCGTGCCCCATCATGGTTCTATCAGATCCTGAGATGAATGCTAATTCTTTCATACAGCCACTCCTCTCGATGTCGTCCGAGTCCGCTTGCAAGCCCAATCCTCAGTCAAGAACACGTCCCCATTCGCCTCCCACACCACACACTCGCTGAAAAACGTCCCTTCAGACCTCGGGGTTACGGCTTGTTGTCGGGAGGTCTTTTGGATCGGTCAAAATGCACAAATGTGCGTCGCCGGGCCTGGTGCCGGTAACATAGGCGCTGCATCCATGACGGAGTGCGCGGTGGAAGAGACTCAGCGCAGAACGTTCACCTCGACCCTGGATGGGCTACGAAAGATCGCTCGAAACGAAGGAGTCTGGACGCTCTGGCGTGGACTCAGTCCCACCCTGATGATGGGAATACCGGCAAATATCATCTACTTTGCTGGCTACGATTGGCTGCGAGCCGATGACAGAAGCCCTATCAAATCTCTTGTCCCCGTCGCGTACGCTCCGCTGGTCGCAGGTTCGGTCGCAAGGACGGCCGCTGCATCTGCCATCAGTCCGATCGAGATGTTCCGGACGCGATTGCAAGCTACTCCAGGTACAGGCGCAGGGCATTTCAAGGCGACCCTTGAGGGGTTACACCAGATGGTCCAAGCCAACGGTTACAGCTCGCTCTGGAGAGGGCTGACTCTTACCATGTGGCGAGATGTGCCTTTCTCCGGCTTATATTGGTGGGGATATGAAGAGGTCAAGAGCTACTTCATCGAGGCGCGCAAGAAGGCTTACATGAATCGCCTGCCACACGATATCTCATTCTCCAGCCACCAAACACCACACGACCTCGATACCCCGACATTTCTCGACAGCTTCATTGCAGGAGCGTCCTCTGGCTCTCTTGCAGCTTTCGTGACCACTCCGTTCGACGTGGGCAAGACACGCCAACAAGTATTCCGACATATGGGCGACGAAGCATCGAGCGCCCTCGGAGATAGTGCGAAGGGGACACCACACCCCGAACAACTTCCCCTGCCCAAATTCCTGATGCACATTTTCCGTGAAGAAGGCATGGCGGGACTCTTCCGTGGCTGGGTTGCACGGTGCCTCAAAGTCGCCCCCGCCTGCGCGATTATGATCTCATCCTACGAGCTTGGAAAGAAGATGGCACGAAACGTCAACGAGCGGACTCGGTCTGCAGATGAACTGCCCTCTTCAGAATAGAAGTACCCAAGATCCATCCTCATCCTGATCAACGCAACGACACAGCGAAAATCTCCCTTGAATACACTCATAGTGCTTAGCCATAGCCAGCCAACCTTGGTGCAACATACCCTTGTCTGATGAACTCGGTAAACGATCGCAGATACAGACACCATCTCTACTCTCTTCCCTTCCATCCACCTTGGCCATTTTTTGTCTTTCGGTGATCTTGCATTGAGCCTGAACCATAGACACATTTCTCGTCCTCTTTAATTTTCTGAAATGTTCCTACATTTTGTTTCCATCCTGTCTTCCATTTCTGCATGGCGCTGAAAAAGGGTGGGCCCGTGTTTTGTTTTGTTGGTACAACACGGTTTTCTGATTTCATGTACAACATCATATATCCGATAGAGCGACCCAGAAAAAACCCCCCCCCCCCCTCCCTCTCTGTCTATACGAATCTTGTGCGATGGCTGTTGCGCCGAGTATATATCCAGAATTGTATAATGTCACAGTGACTAAATCAGGCAAGGACTTTTGGGTGCACCACGTATACTTATTAGTGTGGTGCAGCAGCCGCCGACCTTTTAACTACTACGACTGGTGGCGCGGCGTAGCGACAAGTAGCGCTACGTATATCCATAAACCCCTAAGAATACCAGCAGATCCCGTCCAGCAATTCATTCCCCCACCATCCCATTCCCCGGCACCGCCACCGACAGCGCCGCAACCATCTTATCCTCATGCCGTAGCCAGAAATCATCCTCCCCTGTATACTGCCGTTTCTGCCAGTTATGATTCCGCCGATACCGCTGCAACCGGCTGCCGCCGGCGCCGAGCGACGCGCTCTCTTCGGCGCTGCTGCCCAGCGTTGACAGGGAGGCCGACATGTTCGCCGGCTGCGTGATCCAGCGCCACTGCAGTCGGGCGAGGGTGACGGGGGCGAAGAGGGAGTCGGCCAGGAGGTTGAGGACGAGTTTCTGGGCGCGCCAGAGGGTTTCGCGGAGGCGTTCGTTGAAGGCGACGAGGAGGGCGATGAGGATTATTGCGAAGGAGGTTGGGCCTGGGGTTTTTTTTTGGTGGTTAGTGGTTGGTGTTGAAGGAGATATTCCAAGCAAGCGAGGCCGGTATTTGGGTGCTGTAGTTGTGCAGGGGAACTATGGCAGAAGGAAAGAGGTGTTATTGGACGATGGGTCGTACCTGAGATGTAGAGCATTTGGCCCAGGGTGAGGTTGGTTGGTTCTCCGCTCCATTCGCGGGCGTTGATGCCGAAGAGGGAGGTGAAAAAGGAGAGGGGAAGGAATCTGTGGTTATGTTTTCTTTGATCAGCAAAGGTAATCTCATTGGCCGAAATCTGATGCAAGAGACTGACATGATGGTGAAGATGGTGAATACCATCACGGATCGGGATTGATCTTGCGTGACTTCTGCTTCCCATCGAGCGAGACGGGATTCATCTACATTGGCCTGCTTCTGTTTGAGGTCTAGGAGGTTCTCGACCTGAGGAGCGGGAGGTGGTTAGTGGTGGATGCCTTCGTTTGTCGGGGCGAAACACACAAACGTACCGCTTTCTGGGCGAGAGAAGCGTTCTCCCTCATCTCTAGGACCTGGTTGCGGTAGTCGTCGAGTCTAGATAACGAAGTTTCCATGAATACCTTCCCGTAACCCTTGTGCTCGAAGTAGCCGGCCATCGTCTTGATGGTTGTGGTTTGCACGTCCAGAAGCTTGAGGATGGTGCCTAGCTCGTCGATGATGTCTCGCAGCTCCAGTAACGTGGAGAGGTCTTCGCGGTTGCGACTGGCTAGTTCATGGTCTCGTTCCTCTCGCTCTGCGGCCGACATGGGCTTTCCATCGGCGTTCTTGTTGAAATCTGCAGGGCGCGTGATGAAACCTCTGTTGCGAAAGCGTTTGAACGATTTCGTCATGGACTCAGTCTGTCTAGGTGAGTTGCGCACACGTCCCAGGAGGCGAGTGGCCGAGAACTTACCAGGATGCTGATGGACTCTTCGAAGATGCGGAGGATTTGCAGATCGCGATGCAATGTTCGGTCGAGCAGGACAGTAGCTGCATGTAACACAATCAAGGCAGCAAGATCACCCGCTGTCTCGAATCGCCTCGCCAAATCGCCATTCAACTCATTGTAGATGCTATTGTAGAGGTTCGATTGCTCATAGAGCTTCCCTTCGGCTGTGGTGGCTTCTTGATGAGGAAAGAATGTTACCACAGTCTTCTCGTCGACAATCCAAAGCCAAAGTTGATCGACCATGAGCACTTTTCCATCCATGAACGGGCCGTGATTGTCCGAGTCGTCCTCGACGAGTAAGGCGCTGTTGAACTCGCCCAAGTTGACCTTTTTCTTCGTCCGTTTCCACAGCATCTGATCATCGTCTCGCGCTACCGTCGATCTAAGGTTGGGGTATCCGAATTGGTCCAAGGTCCTGCGTATATGAATCGGAGGCTCATTGCCCAAGAGTTTCCAGATCAGCTTCGATTCTAAACTCGCCGTCGAGATATTGTGAGGCACGGGCCTAAACCTGCCCTGCTTGAGTCGTTCTTCAACCATTTTGCGTCGATGGACCAGATTCGAGTAAGTGTCCCAATGAAGCTAAACAACAATTAGAAAACACTACCAGAGGTCGGTACCATGATGTACATACGTAAGGAACCTGGCGGCCAATGCATCAGTAAGGGCCAGAGATCATGCAGGTATTTTGACTTACATATAGTGCCAGTCTAGGGTCATGCTCTTCCTCCTGATCACCCAAAGGTGTATGCGATTCTTGCTTGAAATGGATGCAGGCCGGACGCACGTAACGTGCATGAGGCTCTAAATGACGGGCTCTGATGAGGTTCGAGTACCAATGCTCTTCATCCATGAGCTTCTCGAAGCTGATAACGAACAAGTCATGCGTTAGCAGAAGAATAAGATCCATAAGTCTACATTCCCAGAACTCACAAAGTCTTCTTATCTTGCTCGCGACAGGCCCGGGCTAGAATTGGAGGGACCCATCCGGTGTGCGTATAGGGCACATGGATCCAGAGAAGTTTCTCACTACCTGGTTCTGGTCGATCAAATCGAGGTATTCTTCGCGGCTTTTCAGCTCGTTCTTCGTCTGGTTTGTCTCTTGCTAGCTTGGGCACTGGAAGGAAGTTTCTAAATCTGTTTGACGAGCTTGTTCTAAGATTACACGTAAGCCACGTTAGCATTAAGCACGGTAAATAAAGACGAGGGAACTCACGAGAAATGCTTGAATGTAGTTATGTCATCATCGATGTTGGCATTATCTGTCTCAACGTCATGTTGATCCTGATCTGTAGGGCTTTGCGAATCCGAGACCGGCTCTTGCTGCACACCGAAGTAACCCTCGCCAAGTGGCTCGGTGACATGTATTCGAGGAGAAAGTGATGCTATAAAACTCCGGCTTTCTCTCAGCGGCGGCCTTGACATAATAGGTTCAGACCTAGTCCTTTCAGTCATTCGAGCTGCGGTGGGATTCACCGCGCCATCTATTGACGACCGAATGTGCGCAGATGTGGGCCTGCTATCGAAGCTGCTAATCGAGGAATCATCGAGAAGGCCAGGAGGAATACCATTCGTTTTTTGAAGTCGATCCTTGAGGCATGTTGATGGCCCAGATGCGAGATAGTCCTTCAGCGATGCTTTTGTGGACCAAAGCTTGAGCGGTGTTTCGTCGCTGACGCCGCGGGCCGTGTCCTCAAAGAATCCACTGACCTGAATCATGACTTCCTGGTCCACATCCATGGGGGCATCGTTCATCTTAGACAGCATCACAGCCATACAAATAGCTGACTGGAGCTCATTGATGAAACTCAATCTTGTCGTTAGCTCTTGACCCCTGAAACAAGCAGTTCCAATATGATCGGCCGTCAAAGGAATGACCTTCTCGTGCTCAAAATCCAATATTCCGGACCGAATCGAGGTAATGGGAACGTGCATTTCGACAGCAGTCCCGGTTTCGTGGTCAACAATGCTAATTTCTGAGTCAAGCGTCTCCAGAAAAGACCACAGCTTCATGTCTGCTGAGATAGACTTGAATTGGCTCCAAAGGCGTACCAAATGAGGATGTCTTGGCCTGAAAATCTCTTGCATTCCTGGCGGAATATGGTGCTTCAGTCGCATTAAGTGGTGGACGCTGTTGGTAAACTCGGGTGCTGAGAGGTAGCTCGAGCCAAAATGTGGAGTTGCCAAAAAGGCAATCCCATAACAACTTGACCATATTGATTCAACATTGGATGTTTTCTGGCTAGCTGCGACAAGCGCTGATTTAGCGACCAGGCCACCAGTGCTATGGCAGATAAAAAAGATTGGTCGCCGCGGGCTCTGGGCATAGACAATCAGATCAGCTTCAATGTAGCCATGGAAGAAAGAGATACTGAATTCATACCGTCGCCTGGCGTTTCTGGAGAACTTGCTTTAGCAATCTGTCCGCGAGGGACTCCAAGTCATCCTGGGGCCCCAGTCGCCCATGGTCGATTAGAATCGCACGGGCATTTTGGATGTGTTTCGTCAATTCGGAGTTAAGCCAAGGCGTGGTTGCGCCCTCATCGATCCACGTCTTTTCTGGATCTGCGCCTATTGCTGGAACGGCGACAATACTAAGTTCGTATTCATGTGTGAGAATGACCTGCCTCGTATTTTGGAAACAGGGAAGACCGATGTTTGCTTACTCGACTGTTGTCTCGACCTGTGAACGCCGCTCATCGTTGGGAACCGCCATGATGCACTTCCCTTCCGGATACACTGAAGGTTGGAGACATTGTGAAGTGCGAAGAAAAGATGCCTGCAGACTAGAGGGGAGATGAGGTCTTAAAGGCAGAGGGACCAACAATCACCATCATCTGATACATTGTTGACTCCTTCGGGGCAGGTGACTTGGCCCGGCTGAGTCCAAGAGCTCACTAACTGAACCATTCTCGATCAGCCTTGTTGTGCCCCTCAGCCTTATGACCAAACCTGGGACCCAACGAACTCCGAGACGGATATTGACAGCGATACAGAGCATCGTCCGCACAGACTGAGTCATTAAACTTATCTCTAATAAATTCCCATGGATATGTGAAGACTCTGAGTACGTGATTCAGAGAGTATAATAAATATAGGTAAAAATACTCATACTAAGAGTCATGTAGCATCACGTGATCACTGGTAAAATGACTGCGAAACTACAATATACCTATGAAGCGATATTTAAGGATAAAGATTTGATGATATACCAGCCCACGATATGGATCGTTTATGTCGAGGTCCTACAGTAAGTGATCGAACACAGGCATTTTGAACGATTAAAGTATGATTGACGCAGTCACCACGACCGAGCTAACGACCGTGGTTTACACATAAAGTACATGGTATGGTACACAGGACTCCGTGAGAACTTTTGTGTCCAAAATAGCGGAGTGGAGATGGTATGAGTTTGGAATCCGATCCAGTGGAGAAGAAGAGGTGGAAAAGGAGGATAGGGTCGGATGTAAGATAGGAAGGAGGATTTAGAGAAGACATGCGACACATTAAGAAAAACAGAAAAGAAACAGAAACCATATATCAGGATATAACCCGGACTATGCAACAACACGCTTGAAGGAGAAACCTTTCAGAAACAAGGAGGTAAGGTTTAGGGGTAGATAGGAGACGAGAATGGAGTAGCAGAAGCGGCAGAAGCAGCTTAGAACATGCCACCGCCCATGCCGCCCATGCCACCCATGCCACCCATGCCACCACCGGGGGCAGCAGGGCCCTTCTCCTCAGGGGCCTCAACAATGGCGACCTCGGTGGTACCCAGAAGGGAGGCGACACCGCTGGCGTCAACCAGGGAGGTACGGACGACCTTGAGGGGGTCGACGATACCGGTGGCGATCATGTCGACGTACTCGCCCTTGGAGCTGTCGAAACCACGGTTGAAGTCGCCGGCGAACTCATCGGTGAGCTTGCCAACGATGACGCTGCCCTCGAGACCGGCATTCTCGACGATGGTGCGAGCAGGGCGGGTGATAGCGTTCTTGATGATGCTGACACCGAGCTGCTGGTCGAAGTTGGCGGTCTTGACGTTGCCAAGGCCGTTAGCGGAGGCCTTGAGGAGAGCAGTACCACCACCGGGGAGGATACCCTGCTCAACGGCGGCGCGGGTGGCGTTCAGGGCATCGACGACACGGTCCTTCTTCTCACCAACCTCAACCTCGGAGGCACCGCCGACCTTGATGACGGCAACACCACCGGAGAGCTTGGCAAGACGCTCCTGAAGCTTCTCCTTCTCGTACTCGGAGGTACCGGGGTCAGCCATGACGCCACGAATCTGCTCGCAGCGCTGAGCGATGCTGTCCTTGCTACCCTCACCGTTGAGGATGATGGTGTCCTCCTTGGTGATGGTGATGGAGCCAGTAGAACCGAGCATGTCGGGGGTGAGCTTCTCGAGCTTGATGTCGAGCTCGTCGGTGAAGACGGTACCGTTGGTAAGGACGGCCAAGTCACCGAGAATGCTCTTGCGGTTGTCACCGAAGCCGGGGGCCTTGACGGCAGCAACCTGAAGCTGACCACGGAGCTTGTTCAGGATGCAGACGGCGAGAGCCTCGCCCTCAATGTCCTCAGCGATGATGACGAGGGGACGGCGGAGAGTGGTGGAGGCCTCAAGGGCAGGGATGATGTCCTGGACAGCGGAAATCTTCTTCTCGGAGAGCAGGATCAAGGGCTTCTCGAACTCGACCTTCTGGGCCTTGGTGTCGGTGATGAAGTAAGGGGAGGTGAAACCGCGGTCGAAGCGCATACCCTCGGTGATCTCAAGCTCATCCTCGAGGGTCTTGCCCTCCTTAACGGTGATGACACCCTCCTTGCCAACACGCTCCATAGCGGTGGAGATGAGCTTGCCGACGTGGGTGTCACCGTTGGCGGAGATGGTAGCGACCTGGGCAATCTCCTCACCAGTGGTGATGTCACGCTTGTTCTGCTGGAGGTAGTCGACGACGGCCTCGACGGCAGCCTGGATACCGCGGCGGAGATCCATGGGGTTGCAGCCAGCGGCAACGTTCTTGACAGTCTCGGAGAAGATAGCACGGGCGAGAACGGTTGCGGTGGTGGTACCGTCACCAGCAAGCTCGTTGGTCTTGGAGGCAACATCCTGGAGGAGGCGGGCACCGAGGTTCTCGAACTTGTCCTGGAGGGTGATGGCCTTGGCGACACTCACACCGTCTACACACGTCAGCACGAGGATGGTCTCTGTTGATCGAGAGTGAGAATGTAGAGCGATGCTTACCCTTGGTGATCTTGGGAGAGCCATAGGGAGACTCAATCAGGACATTGCGACCCTTAGGACCAAGGGTGGAGGTGACAGCCTTGGCAAGGGTGTCGACACCCTTGAGGAGCTGGGCACGAGCCTCAACGCCGAACTTGAGCTCCTACACAAAGTTAGGAAGGCTGCGGATTGACTCATTGGCGTACTCGAATTGGCATTTTGGCGAGGTGAGAAAAGCATACCTTGTGGGCGAAACGCTGCTGCTGCAGGTTGACACCGGAGAATCTGTAGAGGGGAGCGCGCTTGGAAGCAGCGGAAAGGACAGAAGTCCTGGAACTGAGAGCTCTCTGCATCTTGAGGAAGGGGGTAAATTAATAGAAGACAGAAACAGACAAAAGAGATAATGAGGTCAATCAAACAGAATCAGCCCGATCAGAACTCTCAGAGCAAGGATGGGTGAGGGGGGGAGAAGAGGTAGAGAAGAAAAGAGGAGGATGGGGAGAGATGAAAGATGGAGATGAAGCCAAAGTCTCGAAAATTTTCCAGGCGGTTCTCGATCCCCGGATTGTCTTGGCTGGCAGAAGCTCCTAGAAGATCACGTGGCCGCCGGGTATCCGAGGGAATTCGCCCGGCTCGTCGGATGTCACTGGCAGAACACTTGCCCGATGATCGGCCCTTGCTTACAAACGTACTGTAAGTTAAGATAAGTTGCTTAACCACACTCGATCTACAAAAGAACCATCGTATTGGACATGCTGTCTTTTATTCATCAATAACCAGGGATGTTTTTGGTAGCATTATTAGAACAGAACCATGATCAACGTCAGAACCGCCGCCGGGGAATAAAGCTCAAAGTCAGGAAAGGCCTAAAGCGCTAGATCTGAAGCCATGCAAGGTGAAAATAGCCAGGCACTCCTTGTGGGATAGAGAAGAAAAGAAAAACCAGCCAGCTATCAGTGAAAGATGACTGGCAGAGAATAAGAAAGACCGATGATCATCGCCAGAGATGAATATGAACAGACGGTGAGCTGTGCCTGATTGTACGATAAGAAAGACACCAAGTCATATAAGTCTCGCCACAAAAGGAGACATTGAAGTGCTGGGATGTCAAGAGCGTCATGTGGAGTGACAACAACTAGCCTACCAAATCATCGTCATAGCCAAGCAAATGATCGAATTGCTGGTCTGTATTACTCATATGGTTTCCAGAGAAATCGATATCCAGATCAGGGTTAGAAAGCCCGTGATAAACAGCATTGGGATATCCAAGAGTAGCGTCGTTGAACCAGAGGGTTGAGGGATGGTGTCCAGGATCACCAGGCTGTAAGTGCATATAGCTGTCCGTCGATGACACAGCGTTCGCATAGAAAGTGTCAGATAGGTTGGCCGAAGGGGTGTGGCTCTGAAGTGGGAATTGACCAGCCCCGGCAGGTTGCTGTTGCAACGTATAGCCCGATGCAATGAAAGCATCATTAGACGTCGAACCCAAGACAGGTTCCGAGATGTCACCAGTAGAAACTTGATTGGCAGGTCGTGCATACTTGAGTACGATTATCTTCCTGGGTTGGTCGTCTTCGGGGCTTCCCAGCTGACGCCGGGGGGGTGAGCTCATGCTATTGGGGCAATCAAGAAACTCCGCACCGGGGACCAAGAGACTGTCGTCTTCATCTTCTTCATCCGAATCATACCCATCAGTGTCGTGTTCCAATTTGACAACGGGCTTGCGCTTACGTCGGGCCCGCGAGCCAGCTGTGTTGGTTCTTTTCTTGCGTGACTTCGATGCTCTTCCCTCCACATAGTCTTCATCCGAAGCTGAATCTACGTCCGCGAAATCACTTGCTCCCGTTTCACCATTGTGCTTTGTTCCTGCGATGACTCGCTGAGGCTTGCTGTCTGGCGTATTCTTGCCTGATGGTAGTCCGGTTGCTTTGCTCGGGGCACCAAGGCCGCCACGTCGCAGGGGCGGAGGTACAGGCTTGCCAGCAGCAACCCTACGGCTGCGAAGCTTCGCCAAGTGCTGAACGATAGCTCCCTCAGTGACATTGTGTCCCATAGTGCTGGCAACCTCGGTCCATGGAATCTTCATGGACTGGATGTTACAAACAGATTGTACAGTCAGGAGAAGAAGCTCGTTCAGATTTTCTTCAATTGTTAGCTTATGACTCGACAAGAAAATGAGTGTCGAAGGCAGAGAGAAAAAAGGATGTATACCATCCCATCGTACTAGAACGCGCTTCTTCGGCCTGTTTGACGACTTGCGAGAGGAGCTCATTGTACCCTGTACGAGCTCTCAATATGCGCCTCATTCACGGTGACAGCACTTGGGAAGCCAACCAGAGAGCCAATGCCGTTCTCTAGATCCAATCAGAATCTGCCTGGGCTTCTCTCGCCAATAGATTTCTTCGTGAGAGTCACGTCAGTCAGCTCTCAGATAATGAGAAGGGTGTAACAGGTTAGAAGTTATTGGTTGAGCGTCTTAAGAGAGAAAAGCATTTGGCAGATCAGAAATACTTGGCGGGCCTCACTTACCAATGTAGAGTGTGTAGATCTGCGATTAAGATAGAGAGTGAGATGAAACAAGATAAAGAAGCAAGGTGAGTTTAGGTGAGTGAAAGCTCACTAATGAAACGGACAGGACCTGACCACAGATTACATGTCGAGCAAACGCACAAAGATTAGAGCAGTGGTTGATATTGAAAAGTTTCCAGGGGAACACACTGCTCAGATTTCCAGGACCCGCGTCTAAGACCCGCGTCTCATCTGATAACAACGATCTAATCACAATCTATGGTATTTTGTTTGCAAA